TGTTGCTGCTGCTGCTGTTGTTGTTGTTGTTGTTGTTGTTGCTGAGCTACTTTGCCCCGTCGGCCTCCACGAGAACCTGCACCGGTACGGCCTCGTCGGCTAGCGGGTTTCTCGGGTTGATCGCCATCCCTGGCTCCCCGACGACCATTGCTAGTATGCTCCGTATCAGCAGAAGAGTCGCCAAAGGTGGGCGCTGCAGCACGTCGTGGTCGGCCAGTATCTGTAACGGGAGCAGGCTCCTCCTCGCCTTCATAATCAGGCTTGACAACCCCCAAATCAGCCATGAGAGCATTAGACTTTGGTCGGGCAGACCTTCTGGCACGGCCACGTCGACTCCAGCGCTTGTTGAGCTTGGCCTTATACTTAATCTCTTCTTTCGTGAGATAATAATGGACGATACATTGCCGGAAATCTCGCCCAGGCAAGGATTCGGCAATCTTACCCCATTTCTTCGGATGAGCCATGAACGCATCAGTAAAAGTCTCATGCTCCTCAGGGGAGAAGTCGTTGGGCGGTGGGATAAATCCAAAGACATCCATAGCCTTATCAGGGTCGATTATGTTATTCGTGTCCTTATACACACGTGCCTTTGCTTCGTCCAGCTCGAGCATATCTGGAATCACTGCCTCGCGAGAAAGATCTGGTTGCGCAGTGGCCTTGTTCCCACGTCGCCGTTCAAGTTCCTCCTGGGCGGAGATTTCTGAAGCCCGGAGAGCATTCTGGAAATCAAGCTCACTATTCCCCTTGTATCTCCTTCCTTCAGCGGTAGTAGGCGTTGCTATTGCAGTGCCTGGAGGTGACACGGGGCCTGGCGTCAGTGAATTCTTCTCCTTCGCACGATCCAGATCATGTACTCGGAGTCGCCATTCCTTGTACAAATCTACGTAATCATGTTGTAAACCAAGGTTCTTCCTGGCGATCTCTTTCCGGCGTTTCATCATCTCTCCACGAAAGACTTCCTTGATTGACTGGTGGGCTGCGGCATTTTCTTGGTAAATGTCAAGGTCAGAAAGAGGAGTTGGGGGGCCGGAATTCAGGAATGGCAGGCTCTCGATGGTGACAGCATCAGCTGCAGGGAGTGAATCCAGGACCATCTTGGTTGATGGTTCCTGGTCTTCGGCATCTTTATCCAGCTTGACCTCGGGAGGAGTAACCACTTCCCCTCGATCTTCAGCTTCATTTTTAGTCGCCGGCGGTGGTGGAGTTGGACCCCTCTCTGGAGCCACATCGTTGGCAATCGTTCCCAACAATTGAATACGCATGAGCAGTGCAACAATATTCGGATCTTCTAGTGGTGGAGGGGGTAATTCCGCACGCAACGCTCGCATGTCCTTCTCGAAAGTCCGCTTTCGCTCCTCTAGGTACTCTTGCGTAAAAACAACATTTTCATCTTCATCTTCATCGCTAGTCCGACTAAAGTCTGGGATGAGGACATCGGTTTTGTCTCCAGTGGTTTTCTCTTTAGGTCCTACATCTTCCACAGGAGGTAATTTGGGACTAGTAGCACGGACGCTTGAAGGCTTGGGGCGTTCGGACGGTACAGGCGACGCCTCTCGCTTGGATTCTTGTTTCTCCTTTCCAGGAACGATCTCCCCAGCTTCGGGGCCCGATGTGCTGTCATCGATTGACATGCGTTGTTCTCGCTTCGGTTCCTCACCGATAGATAACGCCCGCTCCTTTCCATCGATGGAATCACGCTTTGGAGTGACAGTGGAATTAGGCGCAGGAGGAGGGCCCCTGTAGCCAGGACGAACCCACTGTTTATTACTTTTAGGTGGCCCACGGGATACCGATGGTCGCTGTTGAAGAGCACGCGGGCCTGTAGGGATACTTGAGGAGTGCATAAGAGGCGATGTGTGTGGACCAGGCGATGATCCGCGATTGGCTGAAGGTGGGCCTCTTGCTGAAAGCTCTGGGGAGCTGACGATAGGCCCAGACTTGTTGGCCAAAGGCGTCTCTACTTGCGGTGCTGGAGGCTCCTTGCTGGCCATAGCCGCTGGGGCAGTGGGTAGGGAAAGGTCCGGTTGCCTCTGTGCAGTAGCGGGTGTGACAGAATGAGGCTTGGAGGTGCGTGCCACTGGTTCATGTTTACTCGAAGTATCCAAAGTCTCATCGCGTCGAATTCGTTGTTCCAGCGGTTGTTGGGGAGAAGTTCGGGAAGCTTTGGGACCCGTCGGAGGCTGTATAGGTCCGCGTGATAAAGGCTCATGTTGCTCTTTCTCTACCTTGGGGACTGATAGAGGCACGGCACCTGCATCGGACAGCCTCTTCTCTGCAGACAAATCGGGGATAGGTGCGGTAACAGAGCCAAAAGCCGGGACCTGCGGAGCCGCAGGGGGCGGCGACCGCTTGATAGGAGTGTGAAAGTCTTTGGGGGGCTCTGGGCGAGGTACAACAGGTTCAGGCCGTTCGGATCGTTCGGGTTCACGCCGAGGCTCAGCTATGGACGGTTTGCGAGTCTGTTCAACGTTAGGGTGGTCGGGAACTCGATCGGGTGGTGTAGGGCCAGTGTGGAGAGCCAGAGGAACAGGCGGTGCAGCTGAAATGCTGGGTATACGATTTTCATTGCGACTTGGAGGCCGATCTCTCTTCCAAGGATCGGCTGGTCTGTCTCGATCGTCGCGTTCCATACGTCGGTCAAGTTCATCACGACGGTCAAATCTTTCACGGCGATCCAACTCCCGGTCTCTTTCACGGTCACGGCGATCGATTTCTCGGTCGCGGTCCATTATACGCTCTCTCTCACGATCGCGATCGCGGTCTCGGTCTCGGTCACGGTCTCGATCACGGTCGCGGTCTCGGTCCCTATCTCGGTCCATAATACGATCTCTTTCTCTATCACGGTCCCATCGGCCATCTCGTGAGCGACTTCGGCGTCGAAAGGAGTCACGATCGTCCAGGTAAGGGATACGGCCGCGCCCACGTCCAACATCCCAATCCCCCCGCCCACGACCACGCATAGGCCCGCCACGCGGGTGGTGACCAGGTCCTGAGGATGGGATGTCCGCAGTAGTCGATGAGACTGAAAGGAGGCTGTCTCTGGAACCGCGTCGCATCCGCACCAGATCTGGATCCCTCCCAATAGGTTCTCTCATATCGCGAAAGTCGCGAGGAGGCGGCGGGGAACGGGAGCGACCGCGACCAAAGCCGATCCGTGAATCCCTGGGGTCAAAGTCCCGGTCGCGACGACCCCAATCGCGGTCAAGATCACGACGGAACGGAGGAGGTCCATCACGAACATCTCGAAAATCGCGATCGCGGTCTCTGTCCCTATCTCGAAGATCCCGATCCCGATCCCGAAAATCCCCACGGCCCGGATATCCTCGACCTCGACCACCAAAGGGAGCTCCCCGAGGAGGATCAATTAACGCCTTTGGACCCCGAGGCGGCTCTCGGCCCAGCGGGGGCAGATTCGCATCGTCAGAACCTCGAGGGCCGGCAGGAGGTCGACGGTCACCGAAACGCTGCGGAGATCTGTCGCGGGAATTAAACCCAGATAATGGGGGGTATCGTGAAGACATCACCAGGTCATGCTAGAAAGTGTATTATCGAACAACCCGGCAGATAGCCTGCTGCAGGTTAGTTAGCTGAAGAAATTATAAAACAAAATCGAAAAATGCAGTAAGAATCCAGGTTCGAGACTGGGGGACCCAGGGAAGGCAGAGCGCGAGGCAACGGTGTGGAGAACACGTGATCTTTAAAAGCGTGGAAGCACGGGCCAGAATAAAAGTATTATCTAATCGATCTAACCAAATCCAGGCAAGACCCAGCAGGCGAGAAACTCGAAATTTGATTGATGATTGACTGGTTCTTGCCTTAGCGGCAGCCACTTGGCGTGGCTTGTTTCAAATGTGACGGAGGACGTGTGAGGGCGTGTGGATCAGCAGACAAAGAGGGGAGATGAATGAGACGCAGTGAGGTGAGTATCCAAATTTTTGCCTGGGAACTGAGATTTCTGGATTGGATGCGTGTAAATGTCCTTGGTACTGCGGTCCACCACCGAATCATCGCTGCTGCGTGACTTTTTACGTGCAAAATATGATGATCTCGATCCCAAAATTCCAGAAATCAACAGGACAAAAGGGAAAAATAAGAATAAAATAAGAATAATAAAAAAAACCACAACAATATGCGCACCTCTTGACAAAATGCAGCGTATCAAGCAGCCAACTGTACGATAGCTGCAAGGAGTGATGGCCAGACAACTGGGCTAGATGACTGTTGGAACTTGGAGCTAATTAACCAGGATAGTCGAAATTCGGCCAAAAATAGCTGGGAATAATAGCCGACGATAGATCACGGTCCGGCCTGAACGTGAAGACAAGCTATACCACCAGGTACGAGGATTGAGAGAGTGAATGAAAGGAAAGACAATATTGACAGAAATCGATCGGAGGAAATGTGGACAATGATGAAGAAAAAAGAGAGGAGAAAAGAAACGGGGCCAGAGGTGGATGAACGGATGGATGGATTAGTTAGTTGGGGTGGAGGGCCGTCTGCCGCCGACTGTATGGTTGGGTTTAATTTTAGTTGGTCAGGGATTCTTCTTAAGGGGAACTCAAAAATAACTGCCCACTACGCTGCGTACTACTAGTAGTACTGGCCCTACGATGGCCGTGACCCTGGATTCATTCTTTCTGCCTGAGGCCACAGGGCCTCCTCATCATAACGTTGGTACCCCAGGCATCATATGGAGAAACTGCTGCGCAGCTGGAGACGGATCTAACTAATCGTATCCGGTTAGTCGTTGACTACCCCCGATCCTCTTGTTACACCTGAGGCATTCCTCAGCGTTTTTTCTGCCCGGCCAATCACCCCACCATATTGTTACAGAAGAAAAAGCCACAGAAAAACCTAGGAAAAGAAAAAACCTAAACCATTTCGCATCTTCTGTAAAGCAAACACTTACTTTAGAATCCAACAAAGACGTATATTGCCTAGCGTTCTTTTCATTCCCTTTTGCTTCAATCTTTTCCTTTTTTTTTTTCCCCTTCAAGACAATGTCCTCTCAGCCAGCGGAGGCTGCCCCTCCTACCTCTGCTACTAATGCCGTCCTAGTTGCTTCGGAGCCCGTTCCTGAGGGAACTCATCAGGTTCAGGGTGTGGACTTTGAGCGTTTCCAAGGCCGCGATATTACCGTCGCGGAGATGGTGGATAACATGAGATACATGGGCTTCCAGGGCACCGCAGTCGCCGAGGGTACACGCATTATGAATGATATGGTAGGACAAACTCCTCTACATCTTTTTTCTGCGACCCACTATTGGTATCCTTGCTGATATTGGTTACCTATGCAGCGAGCCTACCGCCATCCGGAATCGGGAGAGAAGGCGACAATCTTTCTTGGATACACTTCCAATCTAATTTCATCGGGCCTCCGGGACACCATTCGCTACCTCGTTCGCCATCGTCACGTTTCTGCAATTGTCACCACCGCCGGCGGAGTGGAGGAAGATTTGATCAAGTGTTTGGCCCCTACGTACATGGGTTCCTTCACGGCTCCTGGGGCTGGACTTCGTGCGAAAGGACTAAACCGCATTGGCAATCTACTGGTCCCGAATAGCAATTACTGTGCCTTTGAAGATTGGCTGATCCCCATTTTGGATAAAATGTTGGAGGAGCAAGAAGCCGCCAAAAAGAAGGCTCAACAGACCGGTGATGAGGAGGATGAGCTTCACTGGACGCCGAGCCGTATCATTGAGCGACTGGGCCACGAGATCAACCACGAAGATTCCGTGCTTTACTGGGCCGCGCGCAACAACATCCCCATCTTTTGTCCCGCTCTCACCGATGGCTCCCTGGGAGACATGCTGTATTTTCACACCTTCCGATCCTCCCCACAACGACTGCGAGTGGATATCGTGGACGATGTGCGTCGCATCAACACGATGGCCGTCCGGGCCGCCCGGGCAGGGATAATCATCCTCGGCGGTGGAGTGGTGAAGCACCATATTGCCAACGCGTGTCTCATGCGGAATGGGGCAGAGCATGCAGTCTATGTAAATACAGCCCAGGAGTTCGACGGAAGCGATGCTGGAGCTCGTCCGGACGAGGCTGTCAGCTGGGGAAAGATCAAGGCGGATGCCAAGGCAGTTAAGGTGTATGCGGAGGCCACCGTAGTCTTCCCGATGATGGTTGCAGCATCATTTGCTCGGGCCGACCAGTCTCCTGCAGATTCAGCTGACCAGGCCCAGAACTAAGGAAAGAGCGTTTCTGTTTTTTCCACGGTGGTAGGCGGGGTAAGCTACGAACACAGGACCGTGCGATGATTAGAACGGGTGTCACGCCAGAAGCCCACTCGGAGACGGATTCCCTCGATCCTCTAATTCTATGCAGTGTCTCAAGTGTGTTGAGGAGTTCCTTGCGGGTACACTGCCTGCTTCTCGAATCAGAAATTCCATTGGGGCTCCAGAGGTGGCGGCGATAAAACCCCACCAGATGTGTCGTCTCGGTAGTGTCGGAAGGGGGAAGATACTATTCTAGAAGCTGAGGGAGGCGAACCGGAAGATAAGCTCCGAGAACAGAATCAAAACTGCCAGGGAACCGAGGAAGGACAAAAAAAAAAATGAAAAGAAAAGAAACACTTTTACTTTTCAGTTTTTAAGACTGGTTCTTACCACGAGTGAGAAAGTTCCATGTCCCGCGATCCCGGGCGGGACAGGAACTAAGGCCATTAATTTGTCTTGCAGAGGCAAAGTGCCTGAGGCGGAAAGAAGGGATGGCGAATCAGAAAGAAAACGAATTGTGGAACCAATGGAGCGCGTTCCACAGGTCGATCATTCATGACCCGTGACAGTTGATTAGGTGGACAACTAAGGTTCCAATGAAAAACGGATACCCGAGTTAATTCCTTGAGTGCTGTATGGGATCTTGCCACAGCGGAAAAGGGGGGGCGGATACTAGTCGAATACTGTTGTCCAGAGCTTCACAAGGAAACGACGAGAGACATTGAACATCCATCAAGTAAAACGGAAATGATCCGACAGCCTCTCGGCCTTTTGACTGGTAGATCGTAGTATGCTTACTCTCTCCCCCTAAGTAAGAATGATAACAGTTCAAGCCGAAGATCAAATAGGATCGGGAGAAATCAGATCTCCACCCCATCGGGAACAAGAGGGGGGTCGAGGTGGCAATCCCAGACTGGAGCGTCTGGTACTTACTAAGTCAAGCAGCATGAATTGTTCCCCAACGAGGGCAACTAAACAAATTCGCCCATGAACCCATTGGACCGGCGGTGAGTGCAGGTGATTTGGCTCTCGGCTGCATTGCCGCCTCATCTTTGTCTTTGGCTCCTAATACCCCCTCTCATTTTTCTGCCTCGTACTCATCTATCTTCCTTCTCTTTGCTTTTTCTCCCTTCTTTCTCTCTGGTCCCTGTGATCTTTCCTCGCTTTCTTTCTTTTTGCCCCTTCTTTACCCGGTGGTGAACAGCCTTCTATCAGCAATCCATTGCTGTCATTTCCTTCCTGGGCTTAGACTGCCCCGTACTACTGATAAGCCATCCTTATCGGGGGAATTCTAGACCCTCACTTTCTGCTGCATCGTTTGCTCTGTCAATTCTCCTGGCGCTCCTATTTTTGTTAAACCGCTAACTCTCTTCTTCTTTATGGACTCTTCCGTCCTATGGTAGAAGAGACGAAAAGAGTATCGGTTGCGACGCTGTTTTCTGCCTGGATGTTTGGTTCTTGAGTTTTGCTTATACTTGGAGCACATGGTGTCTCGGTCTCTTACTATTACTCAACGTTAACCAGGCCTTGTGTTTGAGTCATCCTGTATCGCTCGTATATTGCCCTTTTTTTATTACATGTTCTTGTGGCTCGTATAATTCCTGAGATCATCTTTCTTATCTCCCTACGAGCACTATCATAAGCTCAATAGGGTTTTATCACTCTCCATCATTCACAATGGATACCACCCACGAGACATCGGTTACAGTGGAGCAGCTTCATCCTGTCACGCCAAATATGGAACCACCTTCAACAACAGACACAGGTGCAACGACAGTCGCTCTGGACGCGCCGATCAGCGACGCTCCAGAGTCTTCGACAGACCAATTGAACAACGCCATAGAATCTCCCTTGCTGGTGCCAGAACAAAATATATCCTCTCAAGATACTGGTGCTGAGGAACACGAGCCTCCCATTCGGTCTGATATCTCTGCCCCTCCACGACCCCCACCTCCAGAGGTCGAACATGCTTATTGGGCGGAGATGGAGGAGGATACCTCGGTCCCGGACGAGGCTGAGATGAAGGAAATCGAGTCTGCCGCTGATGGGGACTATAGCGCTTACGAATGTGAGTTCCATAGAATCATAGTTGGTAACATCGGAGAACATCGCTAATAATAGTAGATCCTTACTGGGAGAAGAACTTCCACCCGGATCTGGACGATCCCGAGTATCGTCCCATTGAGAAGGCTCGTCTTACTTGGAAAATTAACGGTGTTAGGGGCACAAAAGATCATCCCAATCGTTCCAAGGTCATGCGCTCTCCAGCCGCCTACATCGGCGGCTACTGGTGGTCCATCAAGTTTTTCCCCCGTGGGAACAACGTCGGTTCCCTGAGCATCTATATTGAATGCTCGCCCACCATGCCCCCTCCTGACAAAACTTTACCCGATACCGAGTTTAAAGTGCTCCGGGGCCCAGCTGATGTAGATATTAATGGCCATACTCCCGATCTGAACCTCAAGTTTGGCCAGACAGATGACCCCGCAGCTTGGCTGGAAAACTACAAGTCACAGTATCCACCGGCTGCCAAGGACGAAAAGACAACGTCCAACACTTGGAGAGTTTCGGCACAGATTGGTGTCATCTTATACAATCCAGATGAACCACGGACTGGATGGATGCAGTCATCTTGCCATCAATTCAATCCACACAATCTTGACTGGGGCTGGACTAGTTTCCATGGCCCGTGGGACCAGATCCACCGCCGGCAGCGGGGCCAGCGTCAGGCACTACTCCGCAATGATACCTTGGCGTTTGATGCCTACATCCGTATCATTGACGACCCTACTCGCTCGTTGTGGTGGCATCCCAGTGATTCGGAACCTACCTGGGATAGTCTAGGGCTCACGGGCTACCGCCCGCTTGGAGACTCCGTTATCAATCACAGTGCCGAAGTCGCGGGGCTAGCCACATGGTTACATATTGCACCTTTCTGTAAAATCATTCAAAACGCCAACATTGTTGAACATCATGCCAACTGTGACGTCAAGCCCAAGCCGCTCTGCGATGCGCTGCAGAGGTTCCTCTGGCAGCTACGCTCTCGCAGAAATTCTCTCCAGTATGTGAACACTGACATCATCACATCTACGCTGCGCAATCTGCATGAGTATTCCGGAGATGTATGTGATTTCTGGGAACGCTTGCGACGCACCCTCGAGTTAGAACTTGCAGGTACAAATGCGGTGAAAGACCTGGCTGCGCTGTTCGATAGCCCAACCCCTGATCTACTTCTCCAGGAGGCTCAAGGATCGGATATGGTCAACACTATCCCAAAGGATTTCAATTCTCGTATCTGTGTGCCTGCCGACCAGGTAAAGACAATGCATGAAGCCCTCAGCAATTACCTGAATTCCAAACCAGGCCGTTGGGCACTGCCGCCTATTCTCCATGTGGAGCTAAGTCGCCAAAAACTCGACAAAGCAGCTCGGCAATGGCGGTTAATCTACAATCGGGTGGACCTAGACGAAGAGCTAGACCTTTCGCCATGGCTACTACATGGTCAGCGCGGGAAGTATGTCCTATACGGTTACATCGTCCATCGGGGTCGACGCACTTCGGGTAAATTCTTCAGCATTCTTCGCCCCGGTGGTCCTGGAACTAAGTGGCTGGCGTTTGATGACGGAAGCGATAATCGTGTTGAGTGTTTAACACGTAAAACAGCCTTGGGCCATCATCTAGGTCTAGACGCAAGTCAGAAGGTTGACCATAAAACTGGCCATGATGTTGCCATTGCGGTGATGTATATCCGCAGTGACCTCGTGTCACAGTATCTACCGGGCCCTCAAGGGCCATGGGCTGCGTCTCCGGCTATGAAAGAATATTACGAACGTGGAATTTATCCCTACGCAGAGTCGACTGACGGGAAAACAACGGAGGACATTCAAGTTGAAGTCTACTCTGCTCCGCAATATGATAAGCTCGACAGCTTGTTCGACACATACGATCTGATGTCGCAGGCGAAGACAGCCAACAAGGTCATGTACCTGACAGTACCTCGGTCAACGAACCTGATCGAGCTGCGCAAGAAGATCGCTTTATGGTCTTCTACAGGCACCCAAGATCAGACAGGTCCAGAGCATATTCGCCTCTGGCAGATTGGGCATACTCGCGACCAGTTTGGTCCTACACTCGCGTTCTCTCGGGTATCGGACCTGAGAACCACATTGAATCTGCCCATGAAGACAGCTCGTTTCTGGATACAGTTAGTCTCAGATGGTGAGTTATTCATGTAAACACCCTTAGGCCAAGCCGATACTAATATTTGAATAGTGGATGCAAAGTACTTTGCCATGGCGGATCCGCAAGAAGTAGAAGTCCCACAGAACAAGCCTGAAGAGGCTGTTTTTGAACGTGAAGACTCTGATTCCTCCGACGATCAGCAATCTGTTGCTGAAGTCGAGGCTGCACGTGCAGGCCCATCTGGCACCGCTTCTCGCGTGGATGACACTGTGCAAGTCGTGATTGCAGACGCCTCTTCCGAACACTCTAATAATAATGTTCCCGAGAACTCGGTAGAGGGTGTTACAGCATCGCTGGAGATGGCTCACCCCGAAGATGACATCCCTAACGGGGCTGAAAATGATGCTGTCATTGCTGCAATAATCGCTGAGGATATCCAACAGATGGAAACGGAACAATCAACAGATACTCCTCAAACCAATGATGTCACGACCGTGCCCCAAACTATTGAAGTCAGCACAGAGTCTTCTCCAACTGATGAGGTTTCTGCTAATCCAATGGAGCCGGAGCCCTCATTACCGGTGGACCATGTGTATTATTTCATCCAAATTTTTGATGTGGAGGCACAGGCTTTGCGGACTGTCGGATCATTTTTCTCTCAGAAGGAAGAGACTATCAAGGCTGCAGTGCGGAAGCACTTGCAATGGCCCGTGACCAAAGACTTCCAAGTCTGGCAGCGCGTGGATGGCACTACGGTGACAACTATGTCCTCTGCCGAGACCTTTAACGTGTACGTACCCGATGGTACTTGCTTCATCGTCGGAGACAAGATGAACAAGGACAAGTAAGTCAAGTCTTTCCCATTAATGTCATGCCCAATAGTATACTAATCTGTCCACCTATTAGACGTTTGAAGCTCAACCAGCAAGGTTTACTGGCCAACCCTGATCAGCTGGTGCGATATCTGTGGGCTAAATCCCGCAACCACCCCATCGAGGCATTTACTGGTTTCAAGACCATCGAAGCATCATTCACCAATGAATTTTATAGCGGTGGTTTGAGCAAAGGATACTACCATGGTAAAGGAAAGCATGTCTCCGATTCAGCCGCTACGTATGATGGGGATTTCGTCCTCGGAAAGCGTCACGGTAAGGGATTCATGGAGTATCCTATTGGCGATACCTACAACGGAGATTGGTTCGAGAACCAGTGCCATGGTCAGGGCACCTTCGTCGAAAAGAAGACAGGCAACAAATACGTGGGCGGTTACAAAGATGGTAAGCGTCATGGAAAGGGTATCAGTTACTGGGAAGTAGCCGACGAAGAGATGGATCTGTGTCAGATCTGTTACTGCGAAGAGCAAGATGCCCTATTCTATGACTGTGGTCACGTCTGTGCCTGTGTCACCTGCGCACGCCAGGTGGAAATATGCCCGATCTGTCGGAAGAACATTATCAGCGTCGTCAAGATCTACAGGACATAGCGGGGCCTTGTTGATTAATATAATTACATCGTTTACTTTTTGTTGCACGGAGAATAAGGCATACCCGGGTTCATGGAACTGTTCCACATTTATATCTATATCCACTATCAGTTTTGGATCATCCGTTCAATTTTTGCGAAGACAATATACGAGATATACGAGATTTTAGATCAGACATTTTTGAATGTACCGATTGACTTTTGTTGTTGCAAGTTTCCCAAATCCAGAATGTGTATAAACCATGAGTGCCACTTGAAAGAGGCATATGAACTAGTACTCACTACATAGAATGCCCCCAAAGCCACATGGATATGTCATGGTATCTATTGAATACACCACCTATCTAGTATAATAATGAAACGCATATCATATAGAATCAACACTCAAAGAACACATGCGCCACCCACACCAACAATGAGATAAAGCAGAAAAGAAAAACAGATGCTTTTATATTTCATTCATTCAACAAGCCATCTTGATAGAAATCCGGGGACCAGAAGAAGAAATATACACAGGTATTAGATAGTAAATGAAGACGCATCATAACTACTTGGTCGACTTCTTAGCCTTTTTCTTGTCCGTCGTAGAGGCTTGAGGTTTGGACTTCTTCTTTTCAGGGGTAGAAGCTTCGGATTTCTTCTCAGGAGTGGTAGACTCTTGGTTCTTGGGCTTGATGTTCTTCTGGGCTTTCTTTGCTTTCTCTGGGGTAGTGGCGGTGGTCTTCTTCTTCGGTTCTGGGGCAGAGTCGGAATCCTTGGATTCTTCCGTGGATTCGGGCTCGGACTTCGACTTCTTGCTGGGCTTGTTGAGGACGGCCTTAGGGTTGATACCCTTTCTGCGGAGGCGATTGCGCTCAGCACGGGCGATGCGATCGGCGTCATCGTTGTCCTCGAAGGGACCGAAGGAGCCACCCTCGGCTTCTATGACGTTACCGTCATCGTCGGTGATGGGGGTCTTGTCGATGGCGTCTTCGTCGTCGGACTTAGGGGTAGCGCGAGCCTCAGAGGACTTGGGCTCGGAAGCGCCCTCGCCCTCGGGCTTCTTGTCTGTGGGGCTGGGTCCGGTCTTCTTCAACTTGCAGACATAGAAACCGTCGACGTTCTCGCGGTGGGGGAAGTAGCGACGGGTCATGGTCATCTTGGCATCGAAGTGCTTGCCCATGTATTCCTTGAAACCGGGACTGCCGAAGTCACCCAGGCCGGTGTCGACGATCTTCACGTTGGGGCGCTTGCGCAGGACGTACTGGACGACGGCCTCGTTCTCCTCAACTGTTACACTACAGGTAGAGTAGACGATGTAACCGCCTGTTTTCGAGGAGTGGTCGACGGAGTCAATGGCGGCGAGAAGCAGCTGGCGCTGCATGTGGGGGATGGCGAGGAAGTCGCGTTCGGTCTTGGATGTCTTGACAGCAGGGTCCTTGGAGATAACACCAGTACCGGTACAGGGAGCATCGAGCAAGACGCGGTCGAAACCACCCATGGCCTTGGGGAAGGCTGTGCGGGCATCGAGGTGGGTCACGACGGTGTTCTTGCATCCGAGACGGTGAATGTTACCGATCAAACCCTTGGCACGGGGCTTGCTGGCATCGTTGGCGATCACACAACCTGTGTTGCGCATCAATGCGGAGATGTATGTAGTCTTACCACCGGGCGCAGAGGCCATATCGAGGACTCGCTCGTTAGGTTGAGGCGCCAATGCCATGACAGGGAGGAAGGAAGATGCAGCTTGAAGGATGTAGTGACCAGCCAGGTACTCTGGAGTGGCACCAAGAGGAACGGCAGACTCGAATACTTGGAGACCAACCTTGGACCACTTGCCGACGGGCTCGAGCACAACACCACGGTTGATAAGCGCTTGAGCCAGGGAGCGACGGTTGGTGCGCAGTGTGTTGGTACGGATGACAACAGGACGAGGGGTTTCGTTGGCTTCGAAAAAGGCGAAAGCCTCCATAGGTGTGAAAAGGTTGAATAGCTTCTCTGCGAGGAATGGCGTATATCCGTAGTAAGTGCAGATGTCGTTCAAAAGCAGCGATACGTAATCGGTGCGAGACTTTCCAGTCTGTCCCAATGTCTTCAAGTCACCCAGAATACGGATAGTGTCTGTGATTCTTGTACGGAGGAGCTGCAGGTCAGGAGCCAGGCCTGGGCCGGATCCTTCGCCGTCCGCAAACACATCTGGACGGTCACCGGCGATGTTTGTCTGCATGGCGGATTCCTGTAATTCGCGTTCTGCTTCTTCCTCTTCGGCCTCCTTCTCCAGATCCAATTTCCGGGACAGTCCCTCAATGTTGGCTGCCGTCAACTTCTCTTCCGCATCGGAAAGATCTTCGTCATCGGAGAACATCGCCTGGCGTGGATGGTCTTCCTCGTCCGAATCCATAATCGAGTCATCATTCTCTGAATCATTCTCATCCTGGCTGTCCATTGACCCATCGCTAACGCCATCGAGATCACCGAACTCATCATCCAACATTTCCTCGTTGTCAAGATCCGACATCTCCTCGTCTTCCTCCTCATCACTCGATTCCATAAAAGTGGGCTTCTTCTGTTCCGTAGCTTTCTTCTTGCCCTTAGTCTCTGGCGCAGCAACCTCCTTCTTGCTCTTGCTAGTAACAGCAGCATTGACCTTCTTCTTCGGCGCTTCCTTCAGAGGCTCCTCCTCAACTTCGGCTCTTCTCCGCTTCTTGCCCGCTTCCGCCTTCGATACAGTCTCACCAGCCTTGCGCTTCTTGAGCATAGTGATCTTAGACTCATCGAGCGGGGCCGGAGGGCCCTGCTTCTTCATACGACGACCCCTACCCATTGCGACAAGTGGTGTATTGTGGGTGAATAAAACAAGAAAAAGAGGGTATAGCACTGTATGTTCTCCAAAAGAATCCAAACTTTTTTTTACGTTTCACTTTTTTTTTCTCCGGGCGGTCAACATCGGCAGATAGTTCCTGGCAGGCGGTGTAAGCGGGAACCAGCTTTGTTTCATGCCTGAGGCAGAAGCCCGATAGTGCAAGTCAGCTTCACCACCAACCCAATCGGGCAAAATGCGGGATGTCTAACTGAATGTGACACAGCATCAAATCGCGCGGTTGCCTTCCTCACCTTTATACAATCACTCTGCAATGTACACCTCCGGTCCTGCGGCCGCCATGGCAGAAGTCAACTTCATTAAATCATACCTTTCCTCCCTCGACTCCCGTCCCATTAAGCTCCCTGCCGACTATGTCATTGATCCAGAGCGAGTCGGGCGAGTCCCCGTACGTATACATCTCAGACATCTGAAACCCAGCTGCCCAAGAATGATGTCCATACTAAACATGTCTCAACCCAGTACCTTCTCCCCCGCATGCCAGCCCCCCACCCCGAAATGCCGAGGAAAGTGAAACAGGCTCAAGCCCCCGGCTCCTCCAAGTCAATCACCGTGAACTTAAAATCCGCGCGGAATCCTGTCCTCGAAATCAAGCTTTCCAACAAGCCTATTTCCACGACATCCGTTCACGACCTCAAGGATGCAGTGCGGGACCGTGTGGTCGACGCTCAGTCGAACAAGATTCCGCTGGACAAGATCAAGATCCTGTATAAGCGCAAGCCGGTTACAGGGAAGACCATCTCCGAGATCTTGGCTGATGAGCCGGAGATGCTGGCTGGTGGGAAGGAGGTTGAGTTTGGGGTTATGATTATGGGCGGTGCGAAGGTTGTCGATGAGGACCAGGAGATGGTGGATCGTGGTGCGTCGCCGAAGGCTGCTCTTGGACCTAGTGGGGAGAGTGTCCTGGAGACAGAGGATTTCTGGGAGGATCTGGAGGGATTCCTAGCGCAGAGGATCAAGGATAATGACGAGGCAAAGAAGTTGAGGAACTTGTTTAAGGAGACTTGGAGTTCGAGTCGGTGATTTTGGTTTGTATGACTTGGGTGTTGTGTTATGATACCTCTTCTTATGAGAACATAAGATCCCGATACGATATCGGATATTCCTCCTCATGAAATAAATAAGCGTGCTGTGGAATTCCTTATAATGACATAAATTGTGGTATTCTATGGCTCGCTGAGTAGATTAAAATCGAACCCCGGTTGCCCTATTGCTGTAGTGTCTAGCATCATTCCCAACGGTATATCGGCGAGAGTGAAAGGAATCATTGTTGGGATCAGTGGAAGGCCCTCAGAACGGGAAAGAAAGAAAAGCTATATTACAGGGCATGAGTGTAGAGGCCAAACTGCGGACCATCATGGTTTAAGACTGCTAACCAGGGTTATGGGAACGGCGGCTTAAGGTACGCCGTTGTGGCCATCACACATGATGCCAAAGCACCTCAAAATAACGGGTCACAGGGGTACATGAATTGCAAATGTAACCAGTTGTGTGAACAAGATAATGAAAACTCTAAAGCACAAAAGACACCCTTCGTCATTTCATATAAGCCGGGGTAGTAATAGTAACAGCAATGCAGGGGGGATATGTTTAGGGAAATTGGAAAGGCATAGAGGATTATGAAGACAAAAAGAAACTATAACCACACGTGTAGAAAGGAACATATGCCAGATAAGAGATCACTGGAAATGCTCAAGAATTCGCCAAGCGCTCATCCATTCATGCGTCCAAGAAATACGGCATAAGAAGAATATCAGCTCGAATATAAGAATAAAATCATACATCGACAGTAGAAGCCCTCATTATCTCGAAGATTACCTCGAGAAGACCTTGACCAGACCATCGCCGCCGCCGCTAACGACCCATCGGCCATCGCGGCTCCAGACGGCGGAACACACACCTTCACCACGCATCAACCGGTGACTGGTGATTTCTTGGGTGCAGCTGCGTTTCTCGAGGTTCCAGAACCGCAGACTGGCATCATGGCCGGCCGACACCAGTTCGCGTCCATCTGGAGATAGGGAAAGTGACGCAATAGCGGACGGGTGCGCCAGCATAGTATAAGTGCATTGTCCTATTACATTCGTTAGTAACCAACCAAGCTTTGTTTCTTAGGTCGAAAGATATAATACGCACCACTATTAGCGTCGAAAAGACGGATGTATCGGTCTTCATAACCACTTATTATGACACCCTCCACACTACTTGAGCCAGTGGCGCCGTGAACCACCTCTTCTTCACCCGAGATGCGGCTGGGGTCAAGGCCAGCAGACCCGTCGAATCCAACCGTAGTTGCTACAACGGAGTTGACCCCTGTGGAAGGAGTGCCATCGTACGTCTCCAGACTCGCCATTCCCACAATTTCCTCACCGGTCCTCGTGTCATAGACAATGATCGAAGCGTCCGAAAAGGACACCACAAAGTTTACACCGGCAAGTGACAACGGACTAATACAGGTCGGCGAAGGGGAATCCTTCCGCGTGATCTTGTGAATAAGGGTGTAGTGGAACGGTGTTGAAGTAGCCATACTAGGTTGCGGTGAGGATGGGAAGTTTGAACCGGACGAAATCGAGTTTGCCCTCCGGCTTCCTCCAGCTCGTCTGTTCCCTGCTTGCGGTGAGGAGAGTTGGGGGGGAGCGCTAACCGCCCATATCAGTATCTGACCGTCCGCAGCCCCAGAGGCCAACAAGATCCTATCAGGGCCACCGTAATGACCACAAGAGTCTCCAAACACAGACCCGGTAGTTCCAGGAAGGACACAAAGACCCCATACAGCATCTGTATGGCCATCAAGTGTGGCCTTAGGGTCAATCCTTCCTCGTTCCCAGACACGCACACTTGCATCTTGGCCACCGGAGAATACCCAGCCGTCACCCAAAGCGCGGCCACCATTAGAGAAATCTCGGGAAGGAGAGCATGCGGCTAACGCTGTGACAGCACCAACATGCCCTCTGTGTGTGAAATAGCTAGTTATATCCAGATCACTGCTCGAATTGACATTATGAGAGCCAAAGTTGCCGTATGTTGCCGGAATAATCCATCGCTTGATCGTGCCATCATCGCTACAAGTACAGATTTCTGGCTCTGAAGGACTACCACCACCGGTGAAAATCACAGCGCGGACGACATCCAGGTGCCCGCGCAGAGCAAATCTAACTTTAAAGTTAGTGTCCTGTTTCTGGGCCGCTCCTCCGATGCTGTCGCTCGATGCCTCGCTCTTGCTCCTAGCCCCCGAGCTTTTCCGTCTATGGGAGAGCGATCCAGGGCGTGAAGGAGATTTCGATCGAACAAAGTTGGCGTTAGGAAAAGCATCCACGTCTGGCCGATGAGGCGGCATCGGTTCAGTTGGGGGCTCTTTTTCGGATGGTTCGTCAAAGTTCCAACCATCTGAGTCCTCTTGTTGTTGCTGTTCTGCTTGTTGTGGCTGTATCTCCTCCTTAGCCCCTCCTTGTGCACCGTACACATCATATACTTGCTTCTCAGCACCAGTGCGCTCAGTCACAATTGTATGTTCGGGAACCTGCTTTCTACTATCAACCGCAGTGGCTGGGGTCTGCTGCGGTTCCAAAGGCTTCCTTTCCAAAGCTTCTCTAGAACCGGGAGGCAGGCCAAACTGATTTGGCTGGCGAGCGATTCCTGAACTCTCAGGGTACTGAGCCACAATGGGCTGGTGGTTCTGAAGAGATACCTCCCGTGCCATAATATGATTTGCCTGCTGCTGTTGCTGTTGCTTTTGACGCTGCTGCTGAATGTGGTATGCTTCCTCCAGTGCCTGCTGCGACAGCTGTTGGTTTCCGTAGATATGGTTTGGGAGTTCCGGATCGCTAAGCTCGGGAGGAGGATGCGATGCAGGGATAACGTGGTAAGTCACTTCTTGGGAACATTTAGACAAATAAAGGCGCGATTTTTCCCGTTCATTTTCTTGCCGGAAGTCGGGTTGATTGTCGTTCAACTCGGCTTCGTTGAGCTCAGTGGGCGGCTTGGGGCGTTGTGCTAAGAACTCGGTCAGTACATAGCGCGTCATCAGAAATGGCCATCATCATACATTTCAAGGCATTTATACTCTCTCGAGCGATATCCTTGGGATCCCTGGTGTCCTCAACCTTCTCGTTGTTGCTAAGCTTCTTGACCTTTTCGCGCTCCTTCTTCAACGCAGCCTCGAGTAGCCTAACGTGTTTACCCAGGGACTCTTGTAGACGCTTGCTTGTGCGCACATCACCTTCCAGCTTGCCTATGCGGGACTTCATTTCTGCGCGCTCGATTTCCCATGCATTGCGGTCTCGCTCGTGTCTATGCCACTCTGTCTGCAGGAAGCGCATAACGCCTGCCATACCCCAAAACCGATTAGTGTCATTATCATGGCGAGATTATGTCTCTAAAAAGCTTCGAGTGAAAGACACACCTTGTAGTGTATACTCCGTCCCCTGAGGTTGCCCGCCGTTGGAGGACCCGTCCCCGGGTCCGCCATAGCCTCCAGCCCCGACCATGGCCGAGGGCGATTGCCAAGCCATGCGAAATCAACGATCAGGGTTACGGAGGCCGTGAATTATCAATGGAAGGTGGTTTCCAGGTCGTAGGGTTTAATTTGAGGTGTGGATAGCCCGGTGAAGTTGTGCCCACAGCGATAAACTTTCTTGGTGTAATGCCAGCAAAAGTCGGGACGGGCGACAGCGGCAGGAAACAGCGTTCCCCGGGCCGTGTCAACACCGGTGGAAGCGAAAACAATGGATGAAATCGAAAAGGCGGAGGATTTCGTTCGTCGGAATTCGAGTAGATGTCAAAAGAAGTTGAGCCGAAAGGTGGCCTTGGACTGGTGCGCGTTCTCCTGCGCTGCTGAGGTCGGGGAAATGCTGCGGTGTTCTCGTTGGCTCCTTAGACGCCCACGCGGCTTAACCGCCTTTAGCGCTGGGGGGTTGTTTATTTTCCCAGCCTCATCAAGTGGTGGTCAGGGGTTGAGAAATGGATGAGCTGGCCATAAACATCCCGAAGTCAATATTTCCTAATTAAATGCACGATTAAAGCGTAGTACTTCCCTCAGGGGGAGTAAACTAACAGGACATGATCTGAAGTACAGCTGGAACTGGACCTGATCTGGTCAGACCGCCAATCATCGCCCCCAACTGACCCTTAGCACCGTTACTTTTTGACCTGTTCAAAAAATCTCCCAATAAACTATCGCGAACATAACGTGTCACTATTTTTAATTTGCAACGTTATCAGTGAACCAAATGTATCCACTCATATAATTCTCATGAAGTCGTGACTCATTAGATACTACTACTACTCTACATTATACAGGACAATTGCATCACTAGAACTCTAACTCCTCCACTTCCATCCCACAATCCACACACTTCTTGACACCGATTCCAGTTTCCGGATTCTCAATCGACCGACCCCATTGGTGCACATGTCTTCCACCATTGCCCAGGTCATCACCGAAGCTTCCCCCAGCCGCTCCCTGACGGTTACGGCGGTAGGCATCGACTCGGGTGCGCTTCTTCAAATCTTGTAGTTTTGACTTGAACTTGGCCTCTCGCCGTCGCTTCTTCTCATTTTCGCGTCGCTCAAACTCGGCATCTAGTGCTTCAGCAGAGCCCCACTTCTTCGCCGAAAAGGCATATTCCTCAACCTGATATCGAAGGTAAAGCATCATGTTGTTCCACGTCGACTTATGAGGGTTAGGTTTTTCAAGATGGGGCAGAAGCTCTTCATCTTTGAGTTCAGCTAGATATCAAGTCAGTATTCTGTACTCATACACGCTTATAGCCGCCAGTAGACTCACGATCTGTCAAAAGATAATCTTCCTTTGCTTCCGTCTTGGTGAGAAGACTGTACTTTTCCGGGAACTTCTCCTTACAGGCGTGGCATACGCAACACCGAAGATCCTGTTCCCACTTCCAATCAATCTCCAGACTTCCACACTCACGACATTTCTTCTGCTTGCTTTGGTCATCCAACACGCTGAGGGCTGGTTCGAAAGGACCGGTCCGATTTCGACGAAGAGAGTCGAGTAACTGCTTTCTCTCCCATTCCTTCTGCGTCATATTCGCCGGCTTTTGTTCCTCCTTTCCATCTTTCACATGCAGCGCCTTATTAAAGGGATCGTCCTCCTCCGTCAAAAACCCTCCCTTCGTGTCCGTCATCTTACTAAAGTCATATTCAACGTATTTCGTAAAGTTCCGCGCAGGCTTGATCGAATCAAGCGGACGGGCCGCCGAAGTCGCATCTCGAACCGTAGCAGGCGTCTCAGCGTCATGGAAGAATAGGACCGTTTAACTCCTCCTTTCGTAGATTGCACGGCACCACTAGTAACATCAACCGATCTCCGAGCCTCGGCCTCCCGTTGCTCCCGTATCGCTTTTGCTTTCATGCGGTTTATTTCCTATGCATCGGCCGATGTCAGTCAGAATATCACTAGATCGCGTCGGGGGCATATACAATTTTCCGCAACTGCTCCGGCGTAAGCGGTGCCCGCGGGAGCTCACCGGGCTTTGAACCGCCTGTTTGCGGCGGCGGAGTCGAACGGTCTGCCATCTTGGACGACGAACTTTTCTAAAGCTCGTACCGCGCCTCAGGAATGCAAGCAGTGGTAACTGTAAAGGTGAGTCTTACAAGGGCGCGTTATCGATAGCTCGTATCGCCACTTCACGTGATGATAACGAAAACTGAAGGAAGTGTTGATTGGTGGGATATAGTATGCCGCCTGGATGAAATGAAGAGGAATGGATTATCCATGATAGAAGGCGCTTTGATTGTATAACAGCATATGCTAAGCAAGAGGAAATGTGCAGTCAATTGTGCAATCTGTATGCATATCATCATCATTTCGCTACGAGGTTGCGATCTAATGACCAGTGTCTGTCGAGGCCAAATATGCCAATATATTTTTCGGAAAGTCGATCAGCATAGCAACTGCAGAAGTACTTTATTTAGCCAGCCATCTGAGTATCAACACATTACGTTTCGTTAATTTGGTAGACACTGTACTGTCTAGTTAATGAAAGCTCTTCTACTAATACATCTGTTACAATCAAGTTGACACAATAAGAACCTTCAGTCACAGAGACACAAACAAACAAGGGGTAGCAACATTAATGCGCCATGCTAAATCGCTATCTATCCTATTCAACGCTATCTTCAACCAGCGAAGTCATATTCCTCGCATACCTCATCATCATCTCGTCCTTGTCCATATAACACTTCGCACACCCCTCCCACAGGGACATCCAAGACGGCATCAGTGCCCTCACTCCAAATTTCCCTCCAATTAACTTTTCTATTCTGCGGGCCCATGATTTGGTATGAAGTTGCACCCGGTTTCATCCTGGCCGCACCCCCAGGTCGTCTCCTACCCTTACCATCTATCACAGCAACATTAGCCACTTCATCCACGATGTTCTCAACGCTATTCATTGGTAGCGTCATGTATCCGGTATTATACGAAGCGAGCGCAATGTAGATGTAGACGATGGTCATGACGAGCCACGCGGGCATCGCTAGTGACCACCATCGAGTCGGATAGTAGGTTATTCCAAGCTGGTGTAAAAATGGTTTTGGGAGATAGGACCAGAGGATGTACAACACTTGCGAGGAGCTGTCAGAACTTTCTATATGAACCCCAGGTACAATAGCCATCGTGTGCACTTACAAAATGCCAACGAAGAGGCGAGATATAGAACGAAACCGTAATACTCATATGTGGGGACCTTCGGACTTGCTCGAGGAACAGTTGTCGCGCGACGCGCTGACTTCGCAACCGCTGCTTCTGTATCGTTCGGTGTTTCGACGTCAGAACTGTCAGGGGTAGTTGGTCGGGATGTAGTTGTCGAGAAAGGAGGTCGTAGAAGAGAGGTCAGCGAAGGTGATGGCGGCAGAGGCGTCGGTGGCCTATTGTAGAAAGGGGGAGCGAATGCATTGGGACCGTGAAGTGAACTTGAAGAATGGCGAAATGGGTATATCTTGATGCATCGTCTTCCGGTGATTGTCCATCCGATTCATCGGTAGACGCATCAGAGAACAATTGATCGTCTAGAGAATACTGGGATTGAAAGTTCGCATCGTAGTCTTCGTCCTCAACGTCTGGTGACGTTATGTCTGGATCGTCTTCCGTAAAGCTGGTATCTGGCGCATCTTGAGAGGTGATTGCTAGATCATCTGCTGAGAGAGGGGGGAACGGTTGTTTTGATTCAAATGGGGGTAGTACGGTGTGGGAGCCAGGGTCATCATTTATACTATCCGTACCCATCCGTTGCTCTTTGTTAGTAAATGACATCTCTCCGGATGAGGCTGCGTTAAATTGAGCAATGGTGAACATCAAGTCGCTGTCGGTCGTTTGTATACTGCCATTTTTCACCGCCTATTACTCCTCGGGGTAGCAAGGATTTGGATCTAGATTCTAAGTTGCCAAGAATCACAGGAAGGCTAGAAATCATTACACTATACACGAGCCAAAGGAAATGAAGGAGTACGGTTATATCTGCATATGAATACCTTCGTCAGAACGGGCTTGTATTGACAGGGCTTTTCACCACGTAATATAGAAAGTTGTTATGGCAAACCTCTCAAGAAGTCAAGGTCCATTGTCAAGTTGTCAACATTTTCGGAACAATTGGCAGACAGTTGTCAGATGAACATGCACCCGAGAAGAATGTAATACGGGAGCCTATTGCATCTACATTGCAAGCGAAGGGAACATACCATAGTGTATGCTAGGGACTCCCCAGGTCGCTTAGAAGTCAGTTTACGTGAAACAATGTTCAACGTTCGTTTCAGAGGGTGCATGAAATCTTTAAACATTTCAAACTGATAGTTTGCAGACACCGCAATTATTGAGTTGGTTATTTGGTTACTATGCTATGTAAGGTGACGAATATCTGGTATTGGATGCACCAAGAAACTATATAAACTTTAACGGGCTGATATGTCTGATCCAGACGGACGAGTCCGGAACCCTCGATGCGGACTTGTCTTGCTTCTCTGCTCCGTACGTCTGTCTGTCTCTCTTGGGCCTTACCGCAAAATGCAAGACAACCCTATTTGACAAATCATACATGGAATGGGCACGGATGGAATGATGCCTAAGAATGTTACCCGCCTCGACTGCTCCTGATGAGCCTAGCATTGACGAACATTCGAGCCGAGTGCTTCATTCTAGCCGATAAGTAGGAATGTCATACACTGCACGCACGGTGTTCTCTTCCTGTATGGCTGCCTACCAACCTTATAAACTACTAGTCAATCATATATTATATTGAGTGGGGATAGTATGTAGTAATAAATTCTGCATGTCACGCCGCCAGGGGGCCTAGGCGCAAAAAGGAAATCAGACAAGGTGGGCTTCGGCCCTCACTTTGCTTTTTGTCATTCCCCTCTTTTTCGCAGATGATTCGGAACCTCAATATTGGAGCCAGCATGTCTCAGATGTTAATTTAATAGTCGACCGGAATATGGTTCCTGCCATGTGAGGTTCTGAGTACAACCATGGTTTCTTGTTCTACCTTCACGCAAGACCACACTTGCATTGTCCGCCGTTACCATCCAAACGAGTCACCACGAGTCAGAGGATTTGTATTTTGCTCCTTGCTCAGATGCCAAAAAAAGTACGCATCCCTTGCGTTACGTGTCCACCAACGGTTCACGTCTGGATTTGTTGACACCAGTGGTGCTGAACTGATTGGATCGGATCCGTTGTCGTTCGACCCATGGAACGGATCTTCTTTCGTCTACATGCCTTTTTAGTGCTTGAGCCCACTTTGTACTTGTCATGGCCAATGATATGCGCCAGGCAGAGATAATCTCAAGAAATATCGTGATGGATAGAGATTGCGCTAATTGGACTCGCGTTCCTTCTTGACCCCTGTGGCGATTTGCACCTGATTAGCGCATACAACCCACAGTCCGCGACATGGAGAACTCTTGTGGCCGGCAAAAAAAAAAACATGACGACGCAAGGTGAAAAAGAGAGGCTCATGTCGATAAGACGTCCAAACAATGCGAGTTGCTGTGGCAGGGGATTACAGAAGCTCAGTCGAAACCCAGCGGCAGACATTCCTTACTTCGCGGTACTTTTAGCAGAGTTTTAGGGATCGGCGATCACTACAATGCCCTACGGCGATTGGATAAACCACCCTCAAGCTTATGGGAAACTATCGACTACTAAATCACGACGGCCTCTCTGGGTCCGTGTTCCCAGTACTGTGTAGCCGATCCCTAATGCATGCTCCACCGAAATTTTCGAATCTTTTCCGTTAGTCCAGGACTCCAGCCAGGCTCTTTACCACGCGGAGCCAGCTGCAGCCCACACGAACATGTCACTGTGGGTTTACTGCCCTCTCGTTGTTTGTGACCCACCAATCAGAAAGGTCGTGACTGGAGATAATCAACATTTTTACCCTTTCACACACATTCCCATTGATGTTTGGATTGGGCCGGTCCGCCAATAGCACTCCTGTCAACCTGTAAGTCTACATACTTTAGCCTCGGGTGCCTCCCCCCCATTTTGACTGACAGGTTCGACAAGCTGGGTTGCATATTTTAGTCATGAGGGTGGGTCGGTCCGTCAGAGCATATATGTTGACGCGATTAGCTCCATGTTGTTCCTGAACCGACACTTGTGCAATGTTGTTGTAGAATCCAAACCCCAAATCTCTACCAAGAATTGATCCAGCTGGCCATGAGCTAGCTTCCTGGCGGCCATTATGGTTGAAACGACACTATTCGACCTGCTTGTCAAGCGGTCGGACCTCCTTGTACGTGATGAGCACAAAGAGTAAAACTGAGATACGAAGGAGGCTAATTCTGCTACTGACAGAACCCTGAGAATGACCCAAACATAGGGTCTTCCCGGGGCAATGCCTCCTCAACGACTTCCGAGGCTATGGAAAACCTTGGTGTCAAAGATTCAACATCTCTTTCCGCACTTGTCACTACATTAGTTCCTGCTTTGATAATCGCAGTCTTTTGGTTCGGTCTGTTCTTGATCTGTCGACGAACCCAGCTTCGGTGGTACGCGCCTAGGACACATTTGCCTAATTGGCACAAGCAGTAAGTCAATATGAATCACACTTTGTCTGCACATCGATACTAACTGATTTTTCAGTGAACGGAGTCCCCAGTTACCCTCAGGTTTCATTAATTGGTTCGGACACTTTCTCAAAATATCTGATGCCCACGTTCTTCATTCCTCGTCTATGGACGGTTATCTCTTCCTTCGATTCCTGAGAGTACTGTGTGCTACATGTTTCACGGGATGCTTGATTACATGGCCCATCTTGCTTCCTATCCATGCAACTGGTGGTGCAGGTAACACCCAGCTAGATGCATTGAGTTTTAGCAACGTGAAAAACCCCAAGCGCTATTATGCTCATGCCGTGATGGCGATTGTCTTTTTCAGTAAGTAACCACTGATGTTATGTTATGAAAGTGAGAGTAATTAACCCTTCTCAACAGCGTTCGTCTTCTATGTGGTGACGCGGGAGAGTATATTTTATGCCAATCTTCGTCAAGCGTATCTCAATTCCTCCGCTTATGTAAACCGGATCTCCTCCAGGACCGTTTTATTCATGTCAGTCCCTGATGAATATAAGAACGAGAAAAAGCTGCGCCAAGTGTTTGGTGACTCTATTCACCGGATATGGATCACTACCGACTGTAAAAAGTTGGAAAAGTTGGTACGCAGAAGGGACAAGTTGGCCATCCGGTTGGAGAGCGCAGAGACAAGAATAATCCGATCAGCGAATTCTATACGCCTGAAATCTTTGAGACAGGGTCGCATCCCATCTGATACGTCTCTTGAAAGTGAAGCAGGCACTTCGCCGCTGTTTCATGGCATCCGGCGACCAACTCATCGCCTCACGTGGTTTGGGAAAAAGGTCGATACGATCAAGTGGTTGCGGGAGCAGCTTGTAGAGGTTTCACAGGAGGTCAATCATCTTCAACAAAAGTATAAGGATGGGGAGATGAAAACTCTTTCCGCAGTCTTCATCGAATTTGACACCCAGTCTGCCGCCCAGATTGCATTGCAGACTTTGTCTCATCACCAACCACTCCATATGACTCCTCGCTTCATTGGTATTTCCCCAAGAGAAGTTGTCTGGTCTGCATTGAACCTCAGCTGGTGGCAACGCATCGTGCGAAAGTTCGCGGTTAAGGGTGGTATTGCTGCGCTTGTCATTTTCTGGTCGATCCCGTCTGCCCTTGTGGGTACTATTTCAAATATCTCATACCTTTCCGACATGGTTCCATTCCTGCATTGGGTCGACTTACTGCCAGAGACAATAAAGGGTGTAATTGCAGGACTGTTGCCATCGGCGGCACTTGTCATGCTGATGTCCTTGGTGCCAATTATTTGTCGAAGTATGTCCCCGGTTATGCATATCCCCTTCGCGTGCTAAAGCTCTAACCTTTGCCTCATATAGTTTGTGCCCGACGATCCGGTGTGCCATCCTCTTCTCGCGTGGAACTGTTCACACAGAGTGCCCATTTTTGCTTCCAAGTCGTCCAGGTCTTCCTGGTCACCACGTTGACTTCAGCAGCGTCCGCTGCAACTACACAAATCATCAAAGACCCTTTGTCCGCCAAGGATCTTCTTGCGGAGAACCTCCCCAAGGCAACCAATTTCTATATTTCTTACTTCCTGCTCCAAGGGTTGACCATGAGCTCCATGGCTGTAGTCCAGGTTGCTGGAGCCTTATTCTTCAAATTCATTACTACCTTTTTCGATCGCTCACCCCGACGTCTGTATGAAAGATGGTCCGCTCTCAGCGGTATCAGCTGGGGTAACATCTTCCCTGTGTTCACAAACATGGGCGTGATCGGTATGTTCACCCACTACAGTCATTCCCTATGTTTAGTAAAGTAACGCAAGACTAACAACTCCCGCAGCCCTGACCTACTCCTGCATCGCACCTCTTATTCTCGCTTCGCCTTCGTCGGCCTCTACCTCGTCTACCAAGCCTACCGCTACAACTTCCTCTTCGTCTACGATCCCCGCATCGACACCAAGGGCCTCGTCTACCCCCGAGCCCTCCAACACCTCCTAACAGGCATCTACCTCGCAGACATCTGCATGATAGGCCTCTTCGCCATTAAAGGCGCAGTTGGCCCCCTAATCATAATGATTCTCTTCGCCATCCTCTTTGTTCTAGCCCACATGTCCCTCAACGAAGCTATCGCCCCCTTCAACAACTTCCTCCCCCGCACCCTCGACGTCGAAGAAGAAGCCCAGCAATGCAAAGAAGAAGCCCACTTCCTCAGCCCACGCAGCAAATGGGAAGCCGCCTGGAAATGGTTTCACCCAAACCTCTACCGCGACTACGCCGCTCTCCGTCGCAAGGTCCGCCGCAATGACGTCGAGATCAAGTACTCTGAAGAAGAACGCTCCAACGCCTACTACGAGCCGTGTATCACGTCGCCTACGCCGACGATCTGGATCCCGAGGGATAAGTGGGGATTCAGTCAGCAGGAGGTGTTGGCGACGGATCCGATTATTCCGATTACGGATGAGGGCGCGCATCTGGATGAGAAGAATAAGATCGTTTGGGATAAATATGATCCTAATTTACCTTTGTCGGCGTTGAAGACTTTGTATTAAACAGGCCATTTGACTCTTGTATATAGTGTTTTCATTTTTTACTTGCTTTTTTTCGGCGTTGAATCTGGTTGGTAATGATAAAAATGACTACTAATGGTAATGGGATTTGGATTATGTGATTAGAATAAGTGAATACATAACATATTGATTAATACTGATTACAACTTGCAATACAAATGTACCATCCTTATCCTATCTTTGGGAGCATCTCCCACCATGGCAAGCTGTGTAATTCGGCTCCCAAGTTTTTGTTGCCCAGATCCTGTTTAAGATTTCTTATAATCAGGCTCTCATATCGTATACCTAGTCGTCCTGAACCCAGAGACGTTTTTAAATCTCCATAGTGAGCTTTACCAAGAATAAAGCCCAAGTCACTATCCAACTGGTCCATTTTGTCTACAACTAGCTCGAAGAACCAGCCGCTATAGAGCCGATATACCAAGCTGAACATATCGTTTTTGCAACATTTACCACTGTTCAAACTAATGTGGAGGGTCAATCCAATAAAAACCGAAGACTAACAATATAACGCAAAGAACGTATCAAGTAATAGGTTATGAGAAGAGGGAAAAAATAACCATATCCATACAAATAATGATGTATCCTACAATCTCAAACAGTCAAAGTAAAATTGACCGTGTTGGTCGTCGTGTCAACACGCGGATAGAATTCGAACGTGAAAACGGCATCCTGGCCTGCAGCAATAACGGCTTCAATTGTAGCCTGTGTGAGAATCACGTTCGTGTCATCCCAGTTCCATTGGCCACTGTATGTCTGTGGATTGGAACAAAGATGTCAATAATCACTGGAGTATGGTTGAGAGTGGGTGGGGAAAGGGAAGGGGACTTACTGTTCTGGCTTCGCTGAAAGGACCAAACCATTGGGTGAAGTCATCGAATAAGTACGTGCCATTGCTGAGGACGGCCTTAACGGTGGCGAGTTTAGGAATGCCTTTCCATGTGATGGGGATGGAGAGGTCGGATCCTGAGACGGATGAGGCGGCGGCGGAAGTCGCTGAGAGTGTTGGGGTGTCCCATTGGACGAGTTGGACAACAGGGGATGCTCCTGAGGAGAACTTGAGGGTGAAGTTGGGGAGGAGGCCGGGCTCGGACGTTTCCGAGTAATAGGTCGAGAGCAGCGAGGCAGGGAATGTGATGTTGGAATCGGAGACGGTGTAATCTGTGTCTGCCTTTAGGGCGGTACCCTTCGAGTCTTCGATGGAGACGAGGGTGTTCTCGTTGAACAGGAAGGGGAGAGTCTGATCAGTGACTTCTGTTCCAACTTTGTGGTAAATGTATGCTGAAGACCATTGACTTGATGCGGAGGTGTCTACGGTGCTGTCGGGAAGACTGTTCGTCTCTTCCCCGTTGGTGAGGATCTCGATTGATGTTGGGTCGCGCCAGATGCCTGATGAGCGGTCCAGGTGGTCAAGTCCGTTGTCCCAGAGAATAGGGCTCATATTGTACTTTTTCGCGGTACGAATGAGGTAGTCGTGATATTTCCAGCGTGCTGCAGGCTCGGTGTTGGTTGGAGAGGCATCAAACTCTCCAAGGACGATGGGAACATCGGTGAAGTTGCCTCGAAGAAGGGCGAGGGTGCTGTCAAGCTCACTCTTATCTGAGTCTGAGCCCCAAATAGTCTTACCCCTAGGAAAGTTGAGTATGGAGCTCATACCAATAGAATGTTAAATGCTACTTACCATGCGCTGAAGATAAAGTCGTCTGTATGAGAGTGTTAGCACTAGATTGTAAGAAGGATTTAGCCTACTTACAAGGTGCATAGAAATGGAATTGAAGAGCCCATGGGTTTGTGACATTGGCAGGGGTTTTGAACCACTGGGAAGTTTTCACACTGTCCATCCCTCCACCTACTAGGTTGACGACACGCTTTGCATTGAAGCCCCCGGCACGATTGATTGCTCTGAGGAAAATCTCATTGAATGTATTTATCTTGGCACCATCTTCCGCAGTATTGCAAGGTGGTTCATTGATGGTTTCGAAAGCGACCATGCTTGACTTGCAAGCCAATTTAGTACCAATCTGGTACCAAAGCTTCTCGAATTTTTCCTCAATTTGCGTAATGTTTGCATCAGATTGAGTGACATCCGCCCATTCCCACGAGTCTAGATTGTTAGCCACTGGCTAAGCCATGTCTATAGGCGTCTTTGGATGGCCTACCGTGATGGACATTGACAATAGTGTATAGACCACGAGACGTGATCATTTCTATAACATCAGAAACTCTCTGCAGCCATTCTGGATCAACGGTCCAGTCAGGAGATTCACTAGTGAAGTGGTGTGTCCAAGTAACTAATAGTGGTATTGTCAGCATATATGAGAATGGTCTCTGGAAAGAGAAGGGGCTACGTATCCACGCACCTGGAAGGCGAACACTTTTGAATCCCGCTGACTTGACATAGTCAAAGGTCGATTCTTGAACGGGGGGATTGTTCCAAGAATCTTCATTCGGGGTAGCGTCAAGACTGTTGCCCAAATTCCACCCGGGATTAATTTTCCCCACGAAATCAGAGGCCGAGATGGCATCAAAGGACCCTGTACAATTGGCACCAAGGGCCCAGGCGCCTTTAAGAAAGGCCGTGAGAGCTAAAAGCCGTAATGGTTGCATGATTACAAGAGCTCAGAGGTAACTCCCAACCTGTGAAATCTCTTTAGAAGCCTGTGCGGCCAGAGCATGGAGGGGTGAGCTGATCGTTTATATACTAAAGTCAAGTTGGAAACCCTGAGGAAAGGTAGAACTTGGCCAACAGATGTTGGCGAACATGACACCAGTCACCGTGCATTAGGGGCATCTGGAATTGATTAACAGTGGTTCTTGACCGGTTAGCTGATTCGAGCGCCCCTCAAAGGATGAAACCTTGAAGTCTCTTGCTATAGATGCTGTCTGGGAACACTTCGCATGCATCTCGCCAAATGGAACAGGATTGCATAAGACGATTGCCAGGCTCATGCCCTCAAAGATAGGTGGTTGACTACTAGCACGCCATCCCAATATGGTAGTCTGGACAATTCCGGTGGTGGTTTCTTCATCCGTTTCCCCGACGGCTCGACAGTTGCGGAAAATCAGTCTATACACCATGCGCTCTGTTGCGAGACTTTGGCATCCCCACGGAGTAAACACCGGCAGCATAATTTCCGATACCTGACCATTCACAGACAGGGTCTAAGAGTATCAATGAAACATGACAAAATCCAAGAAAAGGAGGCAATGTATCTTCCTCCAATTAGGTGGTGCATGGTGGCTTATGTCGGTGGGCCTGTGGCGGCCTTTTATTAAACAAAGGTGCCGGGAACCTGTCTCAGATATCGGAGATGGATGCGTCGGTGCCGAGACGCTATCCCAAAAGATGAGAGAGATTTTCCCCGTCGGAAATGACCTATATTCCGGAATGCTATAGAACAGCCTAAATGCAGAGGTCCATACTGACCCTCCGAACAATTGCAGTAGGGATCTACAATAAAAGCCACAACCATATACGATTAGCCGGTAAACCCGCTCCATCAAAAAGGAAAAGCGCCCTGTTACCCTAACACGACCGGACAAGTAATATCTCGCCTTCCTGAACCATGCAGAAAAAGATACGGCCGCCCTTCCCGATTCGTGTCTATATAAAGTACATAGGTCCATGCCCCCGGTTCGTTTCGTTTCGTCATCAAACATATCGTCAAACCAGCACCGGTAGCGTCCGGAGTAGAACTCCTGGTGAGTTCACATGATTATACAATCCTTATTTCGGTCTTTAGGGCGATCCGATGTACCAATTGCTATAGGCACACCGGGCGGTCGTCTGCCGAACTGTGCTCTCTGATATGGAGCTACATAAGGCGCAGCTCTGTTATTGGAGTTTCGCGGAGGTGACTGATAGGCCGTATTATTGGCTACCTGCTCATAAGAAGGCGGCGGAACATCATCGGTGTTCCGAGACGGCGAATGCCGTCCAGGTTGTTGTGAAGGGCGATGCCCTGTAGAGCGGTGGCGAGCGGGGGCTGGTCCCTCAGAGGCCCCTTGAGGGTAGGATGGAACGGAAGCCCGCTGATTACGGTCACGGGGAGTCCTGCCACTGGCTTGCTGCTCTTCCTCTTGTAATTGAAGGGACAAAGCGTAGGCATAATCTGCATCAGCCTGTTCCTGTGGAGACAATGCTCTGTCCTGCTGCTCTTGTGACACTGCCGAGGAGACTTCAGAATGCCTAGCATTGCTGGAGGTTCTGGGACCGGATGGGTCGGAGGCTCCGGTCGAGGTATGGCTGACAGGGCGAAAGTCACCCGCAAAGAAGCCGGATTGGGATCCATTGACATCAACGAGAGACTCCCATACGATTTCCGCCCGATGAGAGTACCCAGCGTCCGTAACTAGTGTGAAAAGCTGATGATTTTGTGGGTGTTTATAGAGGGTAGAGAAGTGGTCATTACGAAATAGAATCGATAGTGACCCAGGCGCCAGTTTTTCGGTCAAGTGTTGTATCCCGAATGTGCTGAGCTGGGTGGCATTCTCGATCTCCGTAAAATGCTGAATGATTTGAATATCTTTCATGCTCTGCTCTTCCTCTGGAGTGAGTGACCCGCCTCGAAATACACGATCCTCAAGTTCTTGTTTGCGGAAGGGGAGAAGTTGAATGTCTTCATAAAACCGAGCCACACGAGCTAACGCTTCATCGGGCTCCGTAGACGGTTCAGCGATCCAGCCGTGTAGCAGCGGGACGCCGAAAGTGCCATAAAACTTAATATCACTAGTTTCTAAGAACGTGCCTACCGAATCGCTAGATTCCTACTTCGTTGTCAGTACGGGAAAATCACCCTGAGTGCAACAGAATCCCCTACCAGTGTAAGTTGTGGGTTGACATTCATGCCCGTGTGGAGCATAGTCAAAAATCTACTCAGGGCTTCAATGTCTGGAAGCTCGTCATCCGGCCCCAGGCATGTCGTTAACTCGTCGAACAAAGCTTCGATCAACAGACCAAGAGATATCTGCTCTCGTGTTTGTAGAGCCCTGACTATAGGAGGCTGGGAATCGGGGCTTGACCGCAGCACGAGAGCATTAACCAGCGCTAGCAATGGGCATGGTCCATTTTTATTTTGAGCGAGAATCGGACAGTCGCGAAGCTTTCCTGAGGCGTCAGTCCAATTAACATGCCTGATCGAATAAGTTTCAGATCTCTGTTCATGCTGCTTCTTTGCTTCGGCTTCGGAGCCTGGAGTACTAATGCTCGATTGACTAGGTTGTGAAATATTTGAGCGGTCAGGAAGAGGTGGTGCAGCGCCTAGCTGGCTGTTCTGTGTGGGTAATGGATGTGGCTGGCCCCCGTTTATGTCAGAATACACGGAGGATGCTGCCGTACGCTGGTTCGTTTGTGTATGTGCATCCGATGCCTCATTGAGATCAATGAGAACATGTGAAGACCCAGTGTTTGCAGTAGAAAGAGTAGCAGGGGTGCCTATCTCATTCCTTGGTGAAAGCTCTGCCTGATTCCCTTGCTGATGCGGTTGTGGAGAATATGTATTTAAATTGTTGTAAGGAGTACTCTGAGGCTGTTGGAAAGGAGACTGAGCGTCCGCAACCCCAGCCGCTGATTGAGAAGGGTATGACGGATCTTGTGCAGAGTACTGGTTTTCGTACAGGGTCGGCGGGGGCACCGCAGAGCGTTCTCCAGCCCAGGGAGACTCTGATGGCGGGTCAAAAAGCGATAAGCGCGCTGTCATCGGAATATACCCTTCATCTGTCATGTGTTAGCGTTGCGCTCGCAGAAATTATGCTTTAAATGAAAAGGCCAATCGGACCTTGTCCCAAACGTGCATTTGCACTATCATGTGATGCAGATGTTGCTTCTGAGAACGGGCGAGGGCTTCTATCATCCCATGGATTCTGTTCAGGCTGACGTGGCTTCAAGAATGGATTGTTGGACTGCAGCGGAACTTGGGAGTTTCCTACGTGTTCCCAGTCGGGAGCCTCGTTGACTTCTCCATTCTGCGGCCATTCGTTTGCGGCCATCCTCCGCTGGGTACCAGCAACAAGAATAGGCGGCACACGATCTCCCCTTCTACTTTCCGCACTCTCGGCTGGTGGAGCATTATCAGCGACCGATTGACCCGAACCGTTATATCCCTGCTGGTTCTGGCCGGGTCGCTCCACCAGTTCATCCGCCCATGGGTTCATGTTTTCGCTCGGTGAGGATCGAACTGGCGACCTCTGAGCTTGCTCCAAGGGCATTAAATCAAATGCTGGGGACGTGTTGAGATCAGGAGAATATACTGATTCTTGAGAGGGAAGTCGATGGGGTTGCGGAGAGCTTTGAGCTCGTCTCGGGCGGGTCAAGCGTTTCGGGGATGAAGACGACACGGATTTGGAGGTAGGGGAGATCTGTGAGATCGCGGAGCGAGGTTCAGAACGAGCATTACCCTTGTTGAGACTGTACAGGTGTGGCGGAGCCGTTTGCGCAAGACCATGAAGGCAGACGTATATTTAATCTAAGGCAACGCCGTTTAATGAATGCAAGGTGAGCACGCTAAGAGCGACCAATCAAAGGTGTATGACAAAGGGGACAAGTTAGTGAATCTCGTTTCCCTCATGCGCGAATGATCGATCGGACAGTGAGACGTGGCTCAAAGCTATTTCGTGAGCATACGTAACGGTGGCTCAAGATAAGGCTGGGGGCCAATAGACACTTTGCTTGGGAAGGTGGCCGTCAGACAATAAATGCCATGACTTTGTCCCATACAGCCTCTTCAAAACGTTCCTGACTGGATCCGACCAGAGATGCAATTCACAGTAGATAGATGTTGATAACAGGCACCCAGATTTCCGGGTAAACTAGTACGTCGTCAACTTAATTATGGGGCTTTGAGTGGATAAGAAGGCGAATGTCCGGTGGCCAGTCTTTGGGTCGGAACGTTCCTCCGTACTTGCACTAATTACTGCGCCAGCAAGCCATCTCACAGCCGAAAATCAAGGCATCCCTTGTTTTCGACCGTATTGGTATCGTCAACCCCACATTACGTCTTAGCTCAGCCACAACCACCACATGATCCACCCGCCACATTAGCCAGTCTTCCATGTTGATGCTGATCGCCACACAGCGTCTGTGATACCGGAGGATGAGTGACTGATTCAGGATACCGAGCTGAAAATGTTACCCCACTACCAGGTTTAATTAGGAGATCTAAGACATATTACTCCTCCCGGGCTACTGAAGGATATAGAATACGCTTTGCTTAGAATGATAGCCTAGCCAAGTGCTGATGGGTCTAATGCTTCCAGTGATGTCTGCATGGCCGGGTCGTATCAGATCTTTCTGCTGTGACGCAAATTACCTAGCAGATAAGTTGCTACTGCAATTGCACATGCTCCCAGTATGCATGTTATCCCACCAAAAAGCTGCAGCCCGGAGAAGTCGGTGTTCCCTTGACGGTTCAATATGGCGCCCATGATAGGCAACCCTGTGAGACAGCTAACACGCCGTTAGTCTAAGCAACATATATGCACGAGAGGAAGAACTTGACCTAACGCCAATTATCAGTTGGAAGCTACCAAATCGCACACCTAATGTCTCGAGGCTTCCAGCCTTCGCGACACAGGGCATCAGTAACGAGACGAATGAACCGCTGACAAATCCGTAAACCAAAGCAAAGACGATGATGCCAACGTGCGACAGATGGTAATTGAATGGGAGCCAGAGAGCGAGAATTGAAGCCCCTGTGCCGAAGGAGGCCATAGTGAGCACATTGAAATGGCCGATGCGATCTGCCAAGTGAGGGGGGAGTATACGACCCGGAACGGAAGTGGCACTTCATTGTCAGTATGGGTGGAGGCCAGCGAATGTGGTACATACTTGATAAGCGATATCAAATACAGGGCGAGTGTTGGAGAAAAGCCCGCATTGATAGCCATACTCGATATAGAGTTGAATGGTGCCCAAATCCCCACCTATTATCATTATCAGGGACTGTCTTCAATTGGATTCTAAAGAAGTGGCACTCACATCCCAAGAAATGCACCTATAGTATAGATAGCAAAGTGTTTTTCTTTGAACAGTGTTATGTCAAACCACTTGGCCTTACCATTCCATTTGGTGCGTGGCAGACGTGTCCGCATCAAGCAACATGAGATGGCTAGGATGATACCAACAAACAAGGCTGTGTGTCGCACTGCCCCATAGAAGCCCACTTCAGCAACAATACGATCGATGAAAATCGGAAATATGACACCTCCCAAGCTGCTTCCAGCAGCCGTAATCCCAGTTGCCAACCCTCGCTGCCGGATGAACCATTGGCCCACACAGAGTAATGCTGCTGTAAACACACCACCGGCGCCAATTCCGAACGCAAGTCCTTGTGCAAGAAAGATTTGATAGTATTCGGTCGCCAGGCTAGTCATACCGAGTGCAAAGACACATAGTGCGCTACACGGGTATAATACTGGGGCTGCTCCGTAGGTATCAATCAAGCGTCCAAATAGAAGACCAGGTATCCACATTAGGGCTATTTGGACCGCGAAGATCCACGATATGTCCGATGCTGTGTAGGCGGAGAGGCTGTTTTGCTCATAGTACGTTTGGAAAACACCAATTCTGCTGAAGTTAGATCAATATAAGGATAGTAGAGTGCGACATACGCATTCAAGAAGCCAAATGTACAAAATAGGGCAAGAAACGAGCCTCCAACGACTAACCAGCCTCGAAGACCACCTTCCGGTGGTATATTGGACTTGCTTTTCTCCATATGCATATTGTATCAACTTCGAGTGCCGGATATGCAATTCCCTGAGTTTAAAACATGGTGATCACTAGGTATACTATATAAGCATCATAGTATTCTACTCAAAATCTTCTCATTCTACAGAAGCAATCAAGTATACTGTGGGCCGATAATGCCTAACCATTGATTGGCCGATGCTCAGCATAAGGTCTGATCTAAAGCAAATGGAACCCCACATAGAATCTATAGATGGTTTAGCGGCGGCCGACAGCTGACAGTTGGCCGCCACTAGGCCTTTTCTGTCGCTTGAAGTGAAAGCTAAACAAGATTTGTAATCGGTCTCTTTGCATAGTCTAACATAAGATTGTGGGCAAGAGGAATCTACACATACTGGTCTAGGAATCCCCTTGTCGTACAGCACAAAACATTGAAGCTGTAGATGGTCTATGGCTTGGGCAGTCCGAGATGGCGACAAAAGAGCATGCACCACATGTGTGCGTGACTTGTAAGAAGCGTAAGAAAAGGTGTGATAAGGCGCTTCCATCTTGCAGTTATTGTATTAGGTAGGTCTTACGAGTACATAAGATATCAATTGGAACTGATGATCAATATTAGAAAAGGGTTGGGTTGTCAATATGTTTCAACCCTGTCCGGGGAACCGTCTCCTAACTACACAGTCCCCCTGAGGGGAAATGCTGAGCTAGAATGCATCCACCCATTAATACGTTCTTCGTTACTGTTCATGGACTCTGTCTCCAATGAGACGCCATCGGACGTCATTTCTTTAGGGCCCTTGATGAGCCCGACAGCCATAGACACAACCTTGTATTTGCAGGCCCGTCGGATCATTCAAATGACAAATCAATTTGTCGACGACATCAGCGTGCGTTATTTTCAGGGAATACATCGTTATCTTCCTATTATCTCTCGCAAACGCTTCCATGACTATCTCATCCATGTCGGCGCATTCCCTCCAGCAAGCTTCTCAGTTCTTCTGCTCAGTATCTGCCTAGTGACGTACCATCCTGAGATACTGCCAAAAAACCCGCAACGTATTAGCCGCGAGTCCCTCTACATTACTATCAAGTTGGTCTTCACTCAGATCCAGGCTGTCTTCCCTCCTACTGTTCATCTAATTCAGGCGGGCGTTCTTTTGGCGTTATATGAGTATGCACATGGGAAGCCAGATGATGCATTCCTATCTATCAGTGGCTGTGCGCGGATGGGGTATGCGACGGGTCTCCACCATGAGCGGCCGACACATTTGCATCATTACACAAAGGAAGAAGAAATGGTCAATACATGGACAGGGATCATTGTTTTGGAACGGTACTCATCCCTGATTCTACAACGTCTTCCTTGCTAACATGGTAAAGGTTGTTCTTTTGCGAGCTGTCAGCACGAGACCAGCCTTTTGCGACTAATATGTCCACTCATCCCCAGCTGACAGCATCGGAGGGTGATAATAAAAATGACAACATGTCGCGGTTCCAAGCATCTAAAGCATCGATAGAGATGCAAGGCCTTGGGTACTCTGCCCAAGCAGCGTGGCTCTTGGACCGAGTTTTGAAGGCTACCAAAGGCCCTAACATGAATACACAATTCGATCAACTTGATGAGCTTGGATCTTCACTGCAAGTCTTGCTAGGGCTTTTGTTGGAACAATGTCAGGATGTTTGGGGCGTGTTCTGTGGGGCCACTGCAATTGCTATTAGGTGAACAAGTTCTTCGTCTATTATGTGGGTAGATAGCTAATATTTTAGGGCCCTATTCATACTGCACTGGCATATTCTGAGTCAACCCGCTCAGCCCTTCTCTTCAGAGCTGGAAGAATGGAGGCAAAAGTCTTACGATACCTTGGACACGGTCTCTAATATGGTGATTGATATTAACAATACACATGAAGATATAGCTCCACACCTGATTGACCAGATGCCCCCAAGTTGTGTCTATATAACTCGGGCAGCATTGAAACATATTCATGATAGTGCGTGTTGGAAAAGTAAAAGCTGGCTTTGGGAGACGGAGAAGCAACTGAATGCCTCGTTGGATCAGTTTAGTCGCCGATGGGGCTTTGAAACGGCCGCCATAAAGTCAGCAACGTATCGAATATGACCTGGCCCGTTATGAAACATTATTTTGTATCGCAGAGGCTTAGCGGTCTCAGCTTTGCTCCTAGTGACATTGACTGTCATGACGAAACATGATTCTTAAGTGTGTAGACTTTGTGTGGATTTCCCCTCCTCAAGGAATGAACTTCAAGTCTCCGACTTTGTAAATCATAATTCGAGGGGATAAAAGGATACTTTCCATGAAAATTCATGCTCTCCGAATGAGTCAAGCAATCCACCTGGCATGGCCCAAGGAAACAATATGCTTACCTTGCAGAAAATGCTAAGCCACGTTGCTCTATAAATTGCAGAGCGCTTCGCGCTCCGCCAATCAACCGCCACACCAGCCACTGACGAACACCGTTATCCGTCGGACGGAATAACCTCTGATCCGAAGAAAGAGTAGATAATATCATATGGTCCGTGCGCTATCGCAAAAAAAGTAAAACGAGCATTGGGACACCCGCGCATGTTGTACGCGGATTCTTAACTTTGCGGAGAATTTTCTTGGTCCATTCTGGTATAATTTTTGTGCTACTGGAGATCATGATCTAATATCCATTCTTGCTTTTTTTCCCCTATAATTTCTACTGCGTATCCGACACGATGCACTCTTACGTCCGTCCCCACCAATTCGTCGCATTGCGGCTTCCCTCCGAGTTCACGAAGATCCAGAAGATCGTGCCTGACTCGTATGTACACAATATTTGTCCATTCCTATAAATTTTGTTTGTTGTGTTATACAGGGAATAGTGTTGTACTGACCGAATGAATTAGAACAGTCTTCCTGGGAAAATTCGGAAGCTTCCCCGCGAACCAGATTATAGGGCGACCTTTTTATCTGACCTTCGAGATCCTTGATGATGCAGACGAAAAAGATGGCAGCTGTCTACGTGTGATTCCTGCAGCTGAGCTGCACGCCGAAACATTGATCGCAGAGGGAGAGGGAGATGGCGAAGAGGTCGACACAAACGAAGATGGGACTCCGATGCGCACAAATCGCGAGATCGTCGACGACGCATCAACTCAGAAGCTGACATGGGAGGAGATCGAGGCGCTGAAAAAAGAGTCGGGCGGCGCTGGACGGGAAATCATCTCGAAACTTCTAGAGTCTCATCAAACTTTGGATCAAAAGACAAGTTTCTCGCTCGCCAAATATATGCTGCGGAAGCGCAGAAAATACATGAAGCGGTTCACGGTTCTTCCGATGGATGTTAGCATTCTTACGAATCATATGATGGAAGATCAGGGTGCAGCAAGGATTATGGAGTTGCGCGATGAAATGATCGGGCTCCTGGGCTGCTGGGGAAATGTACACCATGGTGGAGATGTTTCTCTCGATGAGACTATTGCGGCGAAGCCTAATGGTCGCTATCTTGTTGTTGACGATACGGGAGGCTTGGTAGTTGCAGCGATGGCCGAGAGGATGGGAATCTTGTACCCACACGACGGTGATGACTATGAGGAGCAAGTGTCATCCGACGAACCCAAGAAGAACGAAGCAGGACAGGCGCAGGATGATGAACAATTACCCGCTGATTCTTCCACTCGTCGCCCAGCTCGCCCAGGTCATATGTCCGCCTCTGGAAACAGCATAACTTTCCTTCATCCAAACAAGCAACCGAACCTCTCTCTCCTGAAATACTTCGGCTATAACCTAGATAATCCAGACGAGACGCACCCTCTTCACCAACATCTAAAGACCATTTCCTGGATGCAACTTTTGGATCCTAATGCTGATCCGATCTACTCCGAAGAGCCAGAGGTTATTCCCGAGTCCGAGTTATATACCATGAAATCCAATAAGCGAGGCGCTTATTACCGGAAGCGCAACAGGTGGGCACGAGTCCAGAGCGTCGTTAACGAAGCCCGGGCTGGAGAATTTGACGGACTCATCGTCGCAACCGTCATGGATCCTTCAAGTGTGTTGAAGTATGCAGTTCCACTGTTAACCGGCTCAGCCCATGTCGCAGTCTACTCTCCATCAATCGAGCCCTTGACCGAATTAATGGATCTCTACTCAACACCGAGGAAAACGGCATTCATAACCCGAAAGCAACAACTAAAAGAACAAAGGCTACAGTCCAGCGACCAAAATGACGCAAATGAAAACGAGTCCCAAGAATCTGAAGTTTCGGAACTGATGGATGAATTTTATCTTGATCCCACCCTGTTGTTGGCGCCCACACTTCAGAACTCCCGGGTACGGCCCTGGCAGGTGCTCCCCGGGCGTACTCACCCCCTAATGTCTATGCGCGGTGGCGCGGAGGGCTATATATTCCACGGCGTCCGAGTAATCCCTACTCAACAAACTATCCAGGCCGCGGGTAACCCAAGCCGAAAAAAGAGAAAGGTCGTGGCACAAACGCCCACCACCGCAGTCGACAGTGGCAGCGGTGTGGATGTTGAGATGAAGTCATAGGGGCTCTCTTGGGTTAATTTTGCATCGTTACCATGTAGACTAGGACATTTGTGGCCAGCCATGATGATAAAAATACGCCATGCCATGCGGCATACCGCATAAAGATATACCAATACAAGTACACCATACACAAGGCTCATCTACTACTACGCAGTCCGCTTGAGTCGGAACCTTAACAAGAATAAGCAATCCATATCTAGATATATCACAATTCGGATACAATATAGTTTTCAGAAAATGAAATCGGAAATTCTTAAATGGTTGCTTTCATACGCTTTGTACGCTGAATAGTGACCAGACAAAAGAAAACGCATCACCTTAGAAGCTCTTGCCCATGAACTTTCTCTTCGCAAAACTCAACCACCACTGTACCACACATATCAGCAATCAATATCACGGCCTAACGCCTGATACATGGAATCCCTTACCTTCGAAGGACCAACACCACCGGGGTATAATCTGGCATGTAGACGGATAGCAATCTCCTGTCGTACCTGCGAGAGGTATCTATAACACAGCTTATTAGCCTCCGATCCACCGGAGCAAAAGATCAGGGTAACCATACGCTCTCAGTGTCTCAGCATCCTGGCGATCGCGAGGCGGCTCGAAAGCTTGGTTAAGGGGGAAGGAGGCATCGCCCGGGATGGCGAAGGAATCGAGCGCAACGTTGTTAAGAGCCTAGTGATGCATATCCCAGTCAGTAACTCTATCGCACAATTACAATAAGCACGGGTGTGTATCGCATCCGGTTGTGTACCTTGCCAGCCTCGAGGGCGGTCATGTTCGGCCTGACCTTTCCGAGACACTCGCTGATGAACAAGGTGCCGTAGATGAGCATGCGGTCGGCGGGGCCGTTGATCTCGAAGTTCCGGAACAAGACATTGGCGCGGAAGAGAGACAGGATCTCGTCTACACAGTCGTACGACTCGCTGTCGACGGCGATTTCGGTGTCGGGGACATTGGACGGTAGCGGGGGGAGAGTGTATGCGGGGCCGCGCGTGCGGGTGCGGAGGGGAAGGATAGGAAAGTTGCCTGTCGGGGGGGGGAGAGGATGTAGAGTCAGTCCGAGGAATGTTGTGGCTGTGTAGGTCTGGTATGATGTCGCATTTTGCTAAAGACGTATCAGGAGGGGTGTAGCGGCGTACCTATTACGGGGATACCCTGATCCTGGAGGAAGACGGAGTGGTATGCCTAGGACTGCGTTAGATAAGGGAACGTTGGGGTATCGTCGAATTAATGACCACAAACCACTCACCGGCATTGTGAATAATATAATGATATGATCAATCCCCTTTAGCGCCTGTCTATTGAGGATTGTTGGAGTAAGAAGTAGCGTCGAGGGTCGTCGATGGCGGTGCTGCCAGACGGGCGGGAAGTGCATGTCATCACCTATAGGGCTGAGCTCCTGAAGCAATGAAATGATTTTCCGGCGCCGAACCTCTTTACGCGCGGGTGTGTTTTGACGCGTCTTGCTTCATCCAGCAGCTCTGCAAATTTCATATCGGCTTCTATTTGCATGCAAATATTTATTTTAAATCCCTAGAAAGCTCAATTAAAGGCTCTTGTGAATATCGACCGGCAAAATGTCCGATTACGAAGATGAAATGGACGTGGATGCTCCGTCCAAGAGCACCATCCAATTCAGTTCCGATAATACCAGTGGGAAAGCTAAGAGAGTTGCGTCAGACCTGCCTGTCGAGGCTCAAGATAATCTGCCATGGTGAGTACTTGTCTCAAATTACTATCATAATAACTAGCTCGCTGATTCGTTCCAGGGTTGAGAAGTACCGACCAAACACTCTCGACGACGTCTCCGGTCACAAGGACATCTTAGCCACAATTAACAAATTCGTTGATGCGAATGTATGCGCCGCGAAACCAGAAATGTTGCCACTTCACTAATCTTTATAATAGCGACTACCGCACCTTCTTCTGTATGGGCCTCCGGGAACTGGCAAGACCTCTACAATCCTTGCGCTCGCAAGGCGGATATATGGGAGCAAAAACATGCGCCAGATGGTGCTCGAACTGAATGCTAGCGATGATCGAGGCATTGATGTTGTCCGAGAACAAATTAAGACCTTTGCTAGTTTGTGCCCCCGGAAAGGAACTGCTTGATTCGGCAGTCAACTTACCTGGTATAGGCACAAAACAGATCTTCTCCATGGCCCCCCAACCGACCTCCGGTGGATCGTCACTCGCATCGTACAAGTTGATCATCCTTGACGAAGCAGACGCTATGACTGCGACCGCGCAAATGGCACTCCGTCGGATTATGGAGAGATATACCGCCAACACGAGATTCTGCATTATTGCCAACTATACCCACAAATTATCGCCCGCTCTACTGTCGCGTTGCACGCGGTTCCGCTTCAGCCCGCTGAAGGAGCAGGACATCAGGTCACTGGTTGATCTGGTCATTGAAAAAGAACAGGTGAACATTCAGCCTGAGGCCGTGGACAGCTTGGTCAGATTAAGTAAGGGTGATATGCGTCGCGCATTGAACGTGCTACAAGCCTGCCATGCAAGCAGTAAGTGCAACTGAAACAATTCTACGGACCGAGATTTTGACATGATGTAGGCATACCGCTCCCTGTCAAGAATGCGCCGAAAGACCAACCCCGTCCTGAACCAGAACTGATCACAAATGCAACGATTTATGACTGCATAGCCGCGCCGCACCCCGCTGACATTCAAGAAATCATGACTACTCTTCTTGCTACCAGCGACGTCACTTCCTGCCTCAACACCGTGAATACTTTGAAATCCAACAAAGGCTTGGCCCTGGCTGATATCCTTGCAGCTCTGGGTGAACAGCTGCAGAATTTAGAAGTCCCTGCACAAACGAGAGTCACCTGGCTGGAGGGCCTCGCTGAAATAGAATTCCGACTTGCCGGCGGAGGCTCTGAAGCCATGCAAACCGGTGGTCTGGTTGGAGTAGTACGGAATGGATGCGAGCTCATGGGGGACAAGGGTGTGTCCATGGCGAGTTAGCTTCACTATGTTCTTTTTGATTATTTATTGCATTTTCACACCACATGTCGTCAAAACTCGTCTTATGATATCTTCATGTTGGAGTTTGGGGGTTTTCAATGTTGGCATTTTGCATCCGTCCTTAGTTATCACCCACCGGCTAATTTTGCGCTGAAACGATGAGAAAGTTAAGCGAAGGTGACATGTTGAGGAGTCTGAACTCGTATTGGCCTGATGGCAAAGAACATCACACGGTCAATGGCTAGATTACTAGTAGCTGCATGACGGCCCTATCTGCGGAGCAACAGGGACTGGTCAATAGTAGTCTCAGAAAACTGAGGGGTCGGCATTCAATGACTCTCGGGCCCTTGGCCCCGTGTCACAGCAAGCCCTAGTTTACCTCCAACTACGGAGTACCTTGGTCAAAACAGGTGGGCAAGCACAGCGGGCTTATCTGATCGCGATCAGAGACGGTGGAATCTTATCAGTCATGGCAACCCTTGGTATGACTCATGGTACTAAAAATCAACAACAAAACGAAGAAGAATCCCCGCGGAGTGCTGATAGACGACGCCCGAGTATCTCACGACGGTCTTGGCACCGCGGACCTGGCCGATATACTCCGATAACGAGGTGTCGAGACCCTGGAAGGCAAAGCCGACAGCTCACTCCACTTTCTGCACGTTAATCCAATGGCCCATTATCTTCACGCGATAGACGTCAATTAGCTAATAATTTTTCCGTAACTAACTAACTATGCCCCGCTCCCATATGTGACCCTGTTTGTCCATTCGGAGGTCCCCAAACTAGGGACTAGTAGGAGTCCTACGCCTTTTTTTGCTTCGTTCCCTCCAGTCAATGAGTGGCCTCCTCCAATCCCGGCACCACCATGCGTGTCTTCCAGGTTCATTCGGTATCGACCGCCGTAGAAACTTGCCGCTTCAGGGTAGATTAAAAGAGGAGAGTTGAGTTTTTCACTCGATGCGACCCCTCCGTCAGTGCAGGGGTCATCATGATCACATAAATTCTCCGCGGTCAATGCGAGAGACCCTAGCGAGTATAATAATAATAATAATAATAATACTGGACGAGTCCCACCCCGCTTCTTCACTTCCTTCCTACAGCCCTACCCCCAAACTGTTACTGCAGATTCAGGCTGCTGCGAGGGAGTAGTAAGTCGTAAGGAATCACACTCAACAATGCGGTCTTCTTTCCAGCCCTCCAGTCTCCTGCTGGCCTTGACGGCCATGGACCTCGCCTCTGCGGAGAGAATCCTGGGCGCATACATCTTCGCCCGCCATGGAGACCGCACACCCAAAGTGCTAGGAAACACCCGGCTCACCGACCTCGGATACAGCGAGGTCTACCAGGCCGGCAGCTACTACCACGACCGGTACATTGACGCGAGCTCCTCGCTGCAGATCGAGGGCATCAGCTCCGAGATCGTGAACCTGAAGCAGCTCACCGCGTCGTCGCCCTCGGACGCAGTGCTCCAGAACTCCGGCGTCGCCTTCATGCAGGGCATCTACCCGCCGGTAGGGTCGTCGGCCAACGAGACCCTGGCCAACGGCACGACCATCTCCGCCCCGTTGAGCGGCTACCAGCTCATCCCGCTCAGCCTGGTGTCCACCGGCACAAACAGCGAGGACAACACCTGGCTGCAGGACGCAACCGGCTGCAACAACGCCAAGGTCAGCAGCAACAGCTACTACAGCTCGGCCCTGTACAACGAGCTCTACGACTCCACCACGGACTTCTACCAGTCGCTCTCGTCCCTGCTGGACGGCGCCTTCGCAAAGGACAAGATGAACTTCAAGAGCGCCTACACCATCTACGACTACCTCAACGTCGCCAGCATCCACAACACCACCAACACGCCCACCACCGAGCAACTGGAGCAACTCTACCTGCTCGCCAATGTCGAGCAGTACAACCTCGCCTACAACACCACCGACACCGTCCGCGGAATTGCAGGCTCGCAGCTCGCCGGCGAAATGCTCCAGGGCCTCAACGAGACCATCACCTCCAAGGGTGCCACCAAGCTCAACGTCCAGCTCGGTTCCTACGGAACCTTCCTCTCGTACTTCGGGCTCGCGCAGCTCCCCGCGGCCGATGTCAACTTCACCGGCATCCCTGACTATGCGTCGACCATGTCTTGGGAGCTGGTCACCGATTCCACTGCTGATGGATTCCCCGATGCGTCCGAGATCAACGTGCGCTTTATCTTCCACAACGGCACCATCGCTGGGGCCAATGATGCGCCGCGGGAGTTCCCCCTGTACGGTCAGTCGAGTGCCACGATCCCGTGGTCGAAGTTCGTCGAGGAGACGAAGAAGATTGCTGTCACCGACACGGAGGAGTGGTGTAAGGTTTGTGGAAACACGGACGGTAAGTGTGCGTCGTACAGTTCTGATGGCTCGGGATCCGATTCCGCGGGTGCCACGTCGAAGAGTGGTAGCGGTGGTGTGTCTAGACCTGTGGCTGGTGTTATCGGTGCCATGGTCACCCTGGCTGTTATCTTTGGTTTGCAGGCGCTGTTCCTGCTTGTGGGTGGCTTTACTATCACTAAGAAGCGTAAGGCCGGGGCTGTTACTCCTGATGTTACGGAGAATAAGGCCTAGAGTGTTGTCATAATGAGGTCTGAAACTGGTTAATGAGTTTTGTGAAGGGGGGGATCAGTTTGAGGTTCTGTGATGGATGGAACTTATGGTCTTGATGTTTTAATGCTGTCTGATGTTGCCGGCAACTAAGTAAGATGCATAACATGAGGAATGAAAGTAATGCGCTCAAATAAACAAGAACCCAATAACAAAGTATTTAACCTCGACGTATGCTTGCCAATATATGCATACCCATCCCTGTATCTCAATATACCCATGTGAAAGAAACTAATATCCACAGACTAAATATTTATCCCTAAACATCCTCCCTCAGTCATGCCGTAAGCCTTCTGCATCCCTAACGAGGCGCGCCGAGACCCGAACCAGCTCCGCGTATGATACCTAGTCGCGTATTGACTGATATATCGGGGTAGTGGTACGATTCCAACAATGGGTCCGAAGCGATCATGGTACAGTTTCGGAGCATGGCTCAAGACGTCTATATTTCTCGCAGTGTCCATTTCTGGGGGTTCAGGCTTTGGACCCAATAATCTCCTTATCCTGGATGCATTTTCCAGCTTCCAGAAGTCGACCAGTTCATGAAGAGAGACACGGCGGCCGTTGTTTGTCTCTGTAAGATACTGTACCGTCTCTTTGTGTTCAATGCTTAAATGACTCTTATATATTCGTGACCTATGAATTACCACTTGTAGAGTAGCATTATTGTGCCTTGGATGTGAGGTAACCCCTTGGATAGCCCGAGGGATATCAGTACTCGAGCCCAGGAGGCTCCCTAAAAGGGTGGCATATAGTATCTTGTCAGCGGGGTTCAGAGCAGCGAGCCATTTTAGGGCTGCGAGGAGCGCTGTGTTCAGAATGTTGGTTTGGGACCAACCCTTGATGTAAGTAATCTTTATGTGTGGGCCCTGGGCAAAGCCTTCCAGGTATGGCTCTACTACTCGCAATAGGTCGACATTGCCAGTATCGTATATCGATTCGATAATGCAGGCTAGGATGTGTGTAAATTGGAACTTGTCGAGGACCAACCTCGAATCTTGGTGGATCTTATAGCGTACATACCCGACATACTGCGTATAGATGGCCCAGTGAAAAACAGAAAAATAGCATGCGGATGGAGTGAAGTGGCCTGTCTTACTTATATACACCGGGAGTTCATTTTGCTGGTCCTGAAGCGGGTTAAGTCCTTGGGTGCAGAGGACGGCGTGATCAAGCTCGTCGAAGAAACGGAATGTTATAACGTCTCAAGCTTCTTTCTGGTAGTATCCCAGTAATTGTGGTAAGTCCTTCAGAAGAAGCCAGCGAATCCTGGTGGAGTGAAAAGAGTACAAGCCGAAGAACTTGATCTCGGCGAGGACAATCTGGCTCATGGCGTCAACAGTATCGAACCCTTCGCATGCTTCCATGGTATCCAATATGTGATGCGTCTGCAAGAAGTCAAATACTGATCGGTGGATAAAGGTGACATGCTCAATATCGACGGGTCTTGTAGGCAAATCTCCCCTGTAGGATAGGTGTTTTATCTCAAGTAGGCCTCTTGATTGATCATGAAGTCGTGCTTGGGCTTGACCTTTACGAGCAATCATATCAGACTCGCTTAGCTCGCAGCCGCTCAGCTCTGCATGCATGGCAAAAGTGGTGTCCATCTCATAGTCGGACAAGAAGCTGTATCTAAGGAGAGTCATTGGCGCCATTCCTAGCTCGGACAACTTTCCAACCACAGCAAACGTTCGATACGCCGAAATGCGGTCGATTGGATTGTTCCAGGTAAGCAAGTGATCAATTAGTGACTCCATTTCCCGTGGCATCCTCTGTATTCTTCTCAACAGATGTTGGAGTTGATTGTCGTATTTTAGAGACCCTCTTAATGACTTCAGAGCCAGAGCGACCCACAGGAAGACTCCATCAGCCCTATCAACTATCTCATTTACTAACTCCTACTTGGCCTGGACCGCTGACCCGGCATAACTGCATATCTCGAAGCCTTTCAGTCGATGAATGACAAAACTCTCAATGTCGTAACGAGTCAGTTCGTGGAGCTGAAGTCGCTTCTCATCCTCGAAAGCAGAGCGGAATACTTCGTAGTTCCTGGACGAAACACAGATCTTCAGATCAAGCGGGGCCACATCGACCCAGCCTAGGAGCAAATTCACCATATCATGGTAGACTTCCTGGCACGTTTCCAAGCACTCATCGAAGCCATCAATAAAAAAACAGAGGCGGTATTTCTCATAGAGCTCGTTATTGTGCAAGAGAGCGTTGAAAACCGCACGAATGTCCTTTCGAGAGAATCGCAACTGCAGCTGGACTCGCCAATCGCTTCTGATAGATTCCTCCCATTGTTCCGGTAAGACAGTTGGTATGAACTCCAGGCATTGCTTCAGGGCTTCGTGCAAAACACCCCACAAAAGACCGTCCAACGTCTTTTCTGCCTCCGCCTCGGCCCTCCAATAAAAAACCGCACAAGCACGAAGCGCCTTTTTCCGGCCCATTGCCTCAGCTTATTGATTGTGTGCTCATGAGTAGATAGAAACTTCATCAACGTAGACTGTCCAGATCCCAGCTTTCCAGAGATGTGGAAGACTCCTGTTCCTTCTCGGGGCCATTGGTTGAAACGTCTTCGATATGGCCCGTGGCTCTTAGAGGCGTCATCCACATCCACCGGAATGTTTCAAAATAGGCTTCATCTATTTGGTCTTCTCTTTGATGTATTGATGCCGAATCCATACTTAGCAGGATGCGAGTTTCCGCAAGTGCTTGGCCAGGTACATTCAATAACTCTTGCAGGAGTGCACTGGCGTCAGAGCTGACTGAAGATTTCAGAAATTCAGATCAGTACACAAGCTATCCAGCTTTGTCTGCAGTGAGGCAAAGCCATCAAATCTCTCTTCGACTAGGCTCTGGAATCGTTGTTTGGGCTCTGATCTATATCATGAATCTGTTAAACGCTGTTATCAGATGAGACGAAGGTAGACGGAGTTTAACCTGTCCAAAGTCTCTAGCTGTACAGTTAACTGGTGGCGACATTCCTTCAATCGATCCAACAATCGGTGCTTTTCTTTTTCATGCAGTCTATCCGTGAAGACTGCCCGCAGAACTGCGCGCTTCAATTTCGGGTCGTTTGGGATACCCCTCCGAATGAGCTGGGGGAGCTCCTTTGACAATGTCCCACACTCCGCTGCCGGTCTGCGTAGAGAATTCTCTCCCGAGCTTATTGCACCGAGGGCTCTAGAGGATTGTAATTTGGAAGACCAAGCTTCTATCTCTCTGACCACTAGTGTAAGTGTTGCGTTTTCTTCCGTCGTCCCAGCTGTGGAATAGTATATCTCGCGAACCCCGTTGAGCAGTTTCGTGCTGAAATCGACAAATTGAAGCACGGCCGTCGCTATGCTAAGTGCAGAGAACGGGTCCATACTGCGACCCGTCTGCTTGGGTCATTTCTCGTTAGTAAGAGTAATGATATTAGGAGAAAGAAATTACCCCATGATGCGGGGAGCACCTGAAGGAGTGAGCTCTGAATCCATGAAGCTCTAGACTATCATACGTTCATTCCATCGAGAACACATCTTGGGTAAACGAAGAAGTATATAGTCAATTGGCTGTATTCCTCGGGGTAAACTGTAAACAGTTGCCTTCACAGTGTGAATGAACTTCCCATACATGTAATTCAAGTAAAGAAGTAGTTACAGGAGTAGCAGGAGCATCTCCACGAGATAAAAAGGTCTATAGATGATTGTCGAAAGTTAAAGACAAGGCAAACAAATCTCTACCGGAAACTAAGTCGCTACCAACAACAGGCCTTGTCATGCTTTCCGCTCTCGTCCTACTCACGGTGTTGGCTCTCAGTCCATTAGCGCTTGGCCCAGTGTGGCATGACGTGTATATCGAGGAGAGGTCGGGTTGCTATATTTAATAGAACAGTCAATTGTTCATGAAAAGATAGTCGGCCTGAGTTTTGTAAGAATAGAGAGAGGCGTTGGATTTGAGGATGCATTTGTAGACATTCAACTTTCAAAAAAATGCACAATATGCTGTATCTTGTAGACACAGCAAGTCTAGACGTTGTCGCTGATGGTGTTTGTTTATCAACGCACCGGGAGATATTTTGGTATTGGCCACAAGCGCTCCTAGACAACTGGTTGCTATCCTTGGGTTGAAGCTCTCCATTCTACTAAGGGGCTTAAGCTAGTATTCATTATGGTCCATAGATTGGCAAACAAAGACACCTGAACTCGTGGAGGTAACATAAGTGAGCGTCTAATTTGTCATGAACACTGAACCTACCCCTGTAGCTCTCCCCAATGTTACAGTGCTTGTAAGTAGAGTGTCACTGATACTACTGATGGTCTTCGAAATCATGGAACAGGTGGACTCATTAAATTGGCTCGGATAGACAAACATAGCTTGTGTCAACGGGACCTTGCAGTGGCGGAGCGGGAATTTGGCTGTAACACGATATTCATTTCCAAAAGCTAGATCATGAAGAGACCTAATTGTTCCAGAGTCAAGTAGGATCTCGAGCGGTGTTTCACAGGGCGGGTCTTAGTGCTTGAATGTCACATAAATTACGTCTCCCTCTCGTCTTCGAGATGCTTTGATCCCGTCCATCTCTGAGAAAATGGAATCAGTCACACTAGAGGCCCTACCTCCTGAAATGAAGACAGCCGTTTTGTATGCTATCCCAGACCGTACCTCCCTGAATGCTTTGGTTCATGCCTCTCCCTGCTTCCATGCGTTGTATCTGTCACGGCGCAAACAACTACTGTCAACCGCCCTTGCAAGATGCCTCCAGCTGCCCGTCATGGTCGATGCGGTTGCTGCGTTGATCGCCCTACGCGGACGGCAGGAAAGGTGCAAAGCCCCGAAGCCTGCTCTAGAGGCAGCCGAGGAGTTTCTGAGCAAATACGTTCCCCTGCGTTCAATACTGAACGCCCCATACTCCTATTCTGCAGAAAAATACCTAGATCAGGAGTTGGACGTTTATCAAGTGTTTGCCTCTTTGACGGAAGACGACCTACTTGAAATGGCTCGACTTCATACTATAGTGGAGTTCATCTTAGAAGATACGGTCCACTCATTTCTCGGGCTTAGGCCAGATGCCCAAAAGCCAAAGGAAGAGAATGCTGCATTATCACCACCAGAAATATTTCGGGTGCAACGAGCAATCTACCAGTCTTATGCAGCGGCAACGAGCTTCCATGGTTTGAAGAGCTAGATCGGCTTAGCGATATATTTGTCGACTCTGATGACCAATGGGATCTCTTCCTCGGTGTATTCGCACCATGGGAAATGGAAGAAATCCGATGTGTCCTGATGTATATCTTTCGCATATATGAAGAGCTGCCTGGTGCAACTCAAATTGACGATTGGTGGGAGCTCTTTCCTGATGAGCATGAAGATCCATTATCTCACCTTTATGATCACGGTATAAACGCTAACTACCAGAGAAGGTAATGTAACCTTGCTAACTTGGTTGATCTAGAGATCGATGACGACCACAGAGATCATTACGTTTCTCTGGGGCTGGGGTTTCTTTATCACTGGATGCATGTGTGCAGCATAACCTGTCGAGAAGAGTGTTTGCTCAAACAGAAAGCCATACTCCGTGGCACCTTGGACTGGGGAGTAGACTTCATAGCTAATGCTTTGGATGCTAACCACACTATCCGTATAACGGAGTATGAGATAGACTTCGGTGATGAAGGCACGTGTGGCAGGGTCTTCCTATCAGATGCGGACTAGAATAGTCCCAACTTGGCTTGGACCTGGTGTTTGAGTACGACCCAAGAAGTTGCATGCATCCATATCTGTTTGGACGTTTGGTCATAATGCATTGCGCAATTGGGGATTTTTATTTTGGGATGAACACCGATTCAAGGAGTAGTGTCTCAGTCCGAAAATGATAAGAGAGATATACAATTCAGGCTTCGAGAAGCCAAGGGATATGGATGCCGATTTGGTTGAAGCGGATTGAGGTACATAAACTAAGACCATTCAAATACCGATGCCATGCCAACATAAAAGAAAGCCAATAAGGTGGTGGCTGTAATGCAACTATGAAATTCCAGGTGCAGGATTAGATTACTCCGATGGTGCCGCGCATCGCCAATGCGTACTTGAACTTGCTTTATCGCCAAGGACAAAAAGCAAAAAGTGAAGCCGAACGCGGGGGTCGAACCCGCAACCTTGAGATACCGTGACGACTAAGAGTCTCACGCTCTACCGATTGAGCTAGCCCGGCTACTTGTTGAAGAACGCTTTCTATTTTGTCTATATAATCCTACAGCAACAAAAAGGGCAAATACCAATCTGTAAGAACCTGCTTCCCATGGATCATACTCCATCGCAAGCAAACTTATTATTAAGGCAGGCTACTAAGCCATATTACTCAGTATATCTGGTGCAAAAATAACAAAAGCAAGAAGAACCCGATCCTTTCCGTGCGAAAGCATCTCAAATCGAGCGTGCTTCTCTATAGTTAATTTTGCATCATAGCCGCTAGCGTAAGCCTATCGGATTGGATTGGATTAGAAATATATAACCATCTCGCCCGGTTGCTTGCCGATTACATCAACCTTCTCCCAACCAGACTTGAGACAATAGACATCCATCAGCATCATGGCAACGGAAAAGTCACCAGCAGCGGAGATTGCCGCGTCACTCAACGATGGCAAGGTGCATCTACTTCTGGCCGCAACAGGTTCCGTTGCCACAATAAAGCTACCGCTTATCATTGCAGCATTCGCAGACCATCCGAATATCTCGATTCGGGTGATTCTTACCAAAGCTGCCGCTGAGTTCCTTCGTGCCCAGTCTGAGGAACAACCTTCGGTAGAATCACTCTCATCGCTCCCCAACGTCGACTCGGTCCTCCATGATGAGGATGAATGGACCGAGCCTTGGACACGAGGTTCAGACATACTACACATCACCCTCCGTAGATGGGCTCATTTACTAGTTATCGCTCCACTGAGCGCGAATTCACTGGCGAAAGTGGTCCACGGGATGTCCGATAATCTGCTTACGAGCGTTGTACGCGCATGGGACACGACGGGGTTGATTGACGGGAGAAAGAAGCGGATACTTGTCGCTCCCGCGATGAACACAGCAATGTGGATGCATCCTGTGACAGCACAGCAGATGCGCGTCCTGGAAGAAGATTGGGGGATTAAAGAAGTCAATGGGATTGTGCAAGGCTGGTTTGAAGTCCTCCGGCCCATTGAGAAATCGCTCGCGTGTGGTGATGTGGGGTCCGGCGGCATGATGGAATGGAGGGAGATCGTGAAGATCGTTAGGCAGAGATTGAGTGTTTCTGCATGAGTTTTGGTATCTCTTTGTTTTGTGATATTCAGAATGCAAAATTCTTCGAGGTCTAGCCGCGGTCTGAAGTGGTAATTCCACCTAACTCTTTGTCGACTCAACGTTACATCACCAGCCTTGTGTCCGGAAAGTTGCTCCTGCAAATGGTACGCTGGGGCCATCCAGCATTTACTCCGTGCACTTCATTGGGTGCTGGTAAGAAAGAATGAATCACTGATTTTCAACCCTTGATAAAGAACCAAAGACCCCTGCTCCCTCTTTCACTGGAAGCGCTTTCACTTAATCATTGTCATGGCACCCGACGACTGGAGACTTGAATAGTCCAACTGCTATTTGCACTCAGATCGTGGCGCAATGAACGAGACCTGAATCGAGCTCAGAATGCGCCAAATCGAGCGTCTTAGCATCGTGGTTCTGCTGCTTTGCTCCGTTGTGTGGCTCGCGAGACGCTTCAGTACCCCGTCGTTGGAAGTTCACCAGTTGTCTCGTTGGCATAATGGGATCAAATTGGGATACACAACGACCATCCCAACTCCCACCACTTCTCGAAATATCTCAACCACTAGAAGAAAGCGACCAAGCATCACCGACCTGTTGCCCTCACGGCATAGGGGAGCTGAGTCATCTAACAATCAGGAACACACCAAGATCAAAATCACAGCAATCGACCGCGTTATTGTTGTTGGGAAGACGAAAGAGGACGACACGAGCTGGATAGAAAACGAGTTGCCCAGGTAAGGAATATACGCTGGATGTATAGCCAGCGGAGCTAACGCATCAACGCAGCTGGCAGCACGCGATCTACGCAGTGGATGACCCAGAAGCACCCCTCCATGTAGCCAAGAACAAAGGAAAAGAAGCCAATGTGTACCTGCAATACATAATCGACAATTACGATGACCTCCCATCAACCATCGTCTTCCTCCATAGCCACCGGGACGGCTATCCAAGAGCCTGGCACACGGAATTTTCCGACCACAGCAATGTGCGCACCGTCCGGATGTTGCAGACAGGGTTCATCCAGCGCAACGGGTACGCCAACCTGCGCTGCAACCCCAACCCGGGTTGTCCTGACGAGATCCGCCCATCTCGCGGATTAAGCGACGAAGAGCACCTGCCGGAGCAAGTATTTCCTGAAATTTGGAAGACGTTCTTCAACAACACCAATGTCCCAGAGGTCATCGCGACCCCATGTTGCGCGCAATTTGCGGTGTCGAGAACGCAGGTGCTGCAGCGCCCATTAAACAACTATATGCGATATCACAAATGGCTTATGGAGACTGAACTACCAGATGAAGTCAGTGGACGAGTCATGGAGTATATGTGGCATATAATATTTGGGCAGGATCCCGTTTAGTAGGCCTCTCTCGTCCTTTTGTATCAGTTCCTCTTGACTGACCTGCCGTACAGTTGCCCTGATATGTACCAATGTTACGAAGATGTTTACGGCACTTTTGATTAACGATTATCGTTTTATACTATACTCTTCCTAGAACAAATGGAACAAGCTGAACACAAACATAATATCACACACTGGCAGTGATTAGATAGCTAAAATTGCGCTCAAAAATGCCATGGAACTACCCTGTTCCATCCAATATACACACCAAAATATTTTCTACCATAAAAGCCAGTGAAATAAAATACAAGTACCCAATTCAAGCAGATACAGCGAATCTAAGCCGTATCTAACAAGTACGTGGAAACCAAAGTTGTAAATATCTAGACACAAACAAAAGCGGCCGTGACATGACGTGACCACATGTGCAATCTATCAAATGAATTTTCCCCGAAAAGCTTCGACATCCGCCGAACACGTCCTCTCTCCCTCGACCGCAATCGCCCTCCCTCCAAAACCCCACGCAGCGCTTACAACGTGGAGGTCACCCCAATAATGAGAATCGCACATAATAACCTCACCATCTAACTCCAACATCCTCCCACTCCCCCACGGAAACCATCCGTCACGGAGCTCCAACCAACGCGCAAACACACCCAATCCCAAACCACAACCACGCAAACCTCAAAATGTCCGCCCATTACACAACAGAACCAAACCCCACGGCCTCAGCGACCCTAAACACAACCTTCGGGCCCCTCCACATCTCCCTCTTCGCTACGCAAACGCCCCTAACATGCCGGAACTTCCTCCAACATTGCCAGGACGGCTACTACACCGACACGATCTTCCACCGCGTGGTGCCCGGCTTCATCATCCAGGGCGGCGACCCGACGGGCACAGGCTCCGGGGGTACATCAATCTACGAGGACCCGGAGTTCGAATACGACCCGGAGGCGCGCGATCCGGACGAGAAGGTCGTGCTCCGCGATGAGCTGCACAGTCGGTTGCGGTATAACCGGCGCGGGCTGGTGGGGATGGCGAAGAGCGAGGATGGGAGCTACGGGAGCCAGTTCTTCATTACGCTGGGGAATACGGAGCGGGAGTTGAACGGGCAGTGTACGCTTTTCGGGCGCATCGAGGGCGACAGTATCTACAATATGGTGAAGATTGCGGAGGCCGAGAGGGTCGAGGGGACGGAACAGCCTGTGTACCCGGTGAAGATCACGTCCTGTGAGATCGGGGAGCTAGGTCCGCTAGCAGGAAAGATCAAGAAGCGCCAGATCACGGCGACGCGGACCGCAAGGACAGAGGATAAGCCCGCGCCGAAAAAGAAGAAGAAGAACAAGGGAGGCAAGACACTCCTGAGCTTCGGCGATGACGGTGACGGCGACGAAGATATGCCCATTCGACCCGCGAAACCGAAGTTCAACTCCAGCCTGGTGACGGACACAAAAATCCCCGAGTCCCACAAACCAGCCCAAGAACCGAAATCAACAAAGACGCCCGCGCTCCCCTTCCCCAGAGCCCAAACATCGCCCCAAAACCCCGGAACCAGAGACCCAGCTCCCCCTCCCCAAGCCCGAATCGCCAGACCGCTCCCCCGAACCAGCCGCACCAAAGCAATCTTTCCTCTCGCGCACCAATGCCGAAATCGAGAATCTCAAGGCCTCCATGCGCAGAACTGCCCACACCGGCGCTGCAGATACAGGGCCCAAAAAGTCCGCCTTGGAGGCCATGATCCCGGAGACGGCGATCCGAGGCCGCAGACGCCCTCCGCCGGGCACATCGGCCTCAACCAACGGCTCAAACGGGATAACAGGGTTCAGCAGTTCAGCGGACAATGACACACTCAAACTCTTCAATGCGTTCAAGGCCAAGCTCGAAAATGCCGATTCACGTCCGCACCCACCCACAAAACCACATCCCAGGATACCAAACCTTCTACTGAGACGCAGGAAGCGGATGACGAGGAGGCCCAGCTCTGTGATCTTCATTTTATCGCGAATTGCCAATCTTGTCAATCATGGGATGATGATCAAACTGCGGAGGGCGGAAAGGCAGGTGCGGCGGCGGAGGATGAGGAGGGCTGGCTGACGCATGAGTTGCGCTTTGGCAAGGATACGCTTGGCAAGGATTTGAAATGGAAACGGGAGCATCCGGACGATGCAGACTCGCTTATGGTGATTGATCCGCGGGAGAAGGAGAAGGAATACGTTGGCGGGAAACGGAGAGGGCTTGAGAGAGATCGGGAGCGAGATAGGAAGCGCGAGCGTGTAGGCAACCTGGAATGGGACAAGGCACGGAGAGGGAAATAGTTTACTGTATACGAATGACTACGTACGTACTTTGGAGCCATAGAATAGTCTTCATGCCATGGTGTAGATCTATATATCTCGAGACATTGTTTAGCTCTGCAGGTGATTACGTACAAAGTTAACAACAATGAAGGCATTTAACACCTCGTGGAAAAACCATGCATGTACATCAATAAGCATCGGCAAACAGGTCATAGCTGGAAGCTCAGTCATAACTATGTACTCAAGTCATTAAAACAAGTGATAAGGATGATTGGAACGAGATCATGGGAGAGGCCCTTGTGGCGCACCATGGCCACAAGATAAGTATCTCTCCACAGCGGTGTAAGAACGAACGAAACTCCACGCAGGACTCCTTTCCATGCTCATATCTCCCCTTACTTTTTTTTGGTTGGCCCGCTGAATCCTAACGCCCTTATTCGCCGTGTTGCCCACCTTTGTCGAAATAGAAGACCGGACTCGTTTCAGACACCGATCGACTCACATTCCAAGACGGACCTGCAAGAACCACCGTCCTTAGTGGAAGCCCAGTCGTAGGCTGCTTGTATATGTAAGAGAATATTGACTAGTCGCACGCGTCATCGAAATTCAGACCAAAAGACCGAAAACCAGTCTGTGTCGTATTAGGACCGAATCGCTTGGACGAGAGGTAAAGATGAATAAACAGGACTCGATTTGTACCTTTTTGACCCAATGACGCCTCGTTTATTCGCTTCGAGTGGGTGGGAACGAGAATGGAACAAAGGAAATTGATAGTGGTTTGAGGCCGTAACTCCCAACGGATTGTCGCATTTCACGTCTTTCGCTTCTTCAGAGTGGTTTCCCTTTCTTTGTTGCAGACGCACAGCCCCGTTAGTATAGTATATTAAGAATATTAAGCCTTCTTGCGCCGCTTCGCGCTACCGCCGTTTCCCTTACCTCCCTGGAGATCTTTGCCCCCGTTAGGGACGCCATATTGTGCAGGCTCGTCCACGGTGTTACTTGGGCTGGTCGCTTCGCTATCGGTTAGAGTTTCAATGATTCTGCCGGCACCCGGATTTATCGTATTATTAAAGCCGCTGCCATCGTAGCCGTTATAGAAACCGGGGTTCTGTTGCTGTTGGTCTGGTCCCTCGAATAGATCGCCGTTATCAGGGATATGGTCGAAATCAAACAAGTCGTTTCCATCTTTGATTATGCCATCATCTGCACCTGTCGTGACAGGCTCGCTTGGCGCCGTAGCGGGTACCGAATTCGTGGTGTTTCCAAAGTCCAAGTTGTTCTTATTATGTTCAAGATCCGCGATGTCCGTGAAATAGTCATTATTGAAAATCTGATCGAGGTCTAGCGGGGGAGGAGGAACACTTCCATCACCTGTTACCATACCCGGGATTGTCCCTGTTGGGCTGAGCGGCTGTAGAAGATTTGTTAAATTCTGGACTGAACGATCTTGTTCAGCTTGCATTTTCACGAGGTTGTCAATCTCCGCGCGGGTGTTCGCAAGACGATTCGAATAACCGAGAGGCATTGGCGGTGGTGTTGGGGTCATTAGGGCATTGTTTTGTGACACAGGTACATTGGAGTCACCCGCGCTAGTCTCGTTGGCCATGAGACGTAGCATATCCGCGCGTTGGTTTGGAGTAAGAGGAACGTTGCCATTTGACGTTTCCAGCGACGACAATACGTTGGGAAAGTCCGCAAAGCTTGTGGGGGGGCCTCCATTTCGCGCATTGGTATTCTGAATGACGGACATGATATCCCGCTGAGGAAACTGTTCGGTTTGAGGCGGTTGCGTCTCTTTCGGCCGAGGACTGCTATCAAAGACCTCTTCAATATGACCGTGTTGGGGGGCACTTGGCTGGCGAGTATGACCCCGCGGTTGTGGACCCTCATACGCACTGGCGGCTGGTGAGAGGGTAGTTGCGCGGCTCTGTCGTTCTGACGGCGCAGCTTTCAGAAGCAGGGGTTGCTTCTTCATTGCTCGTGGTCCTCCCGGGCTGTTCATATGCTGAGCACCTAAGGCGCTCAGCGAATAGTCATCTCCCATGTCGACTACATTACCTTGATCCTGAGAGATCGCTCCAGCAAAAGAGTTGGCAAGGTTTTGAGGTCCTTCCTGTCCCTGAAGGCTGCGATTATAGACAGTCGCCAGGAAGGTGAGAATCGCGTTGATCGAATTCTCGTGACGAGTGTGCTGCTCTTGGAAATTGGCGGCCTGTGCGTAGAGTTGCTCGTGTTCTCTCCGTAGCTTGGTAATTGTGTTGGAGATGACCTGCTGTTGCTGCCGAATAGCCTGCAACTCCCGGTAGACCCCCGCGAGTTGATCTTTCGGCATAACATTCCCTCCTTGGACTAGAGATAATTGTCGGTTCCGGGATCGGTCGTCTCGTATACCAGGGACATCGTCGTAATCATCATTGTCATGTTCATCCACGTCTTCGGTTTTTACGCGTATATTGGCCTTTCCTGTCTTGCTCCCTTGCCCTCCCGTATTCTTAGGTTTTTGTATCAACCACAGCAAATCGGGGTGGCCACGCTTGAAGTATGGGTTGGCATACTCGCTGGGGCTCTTGTTCTTTCGTTCACTGGCGCGCATCGAATTATCCGAGAGCCCCACCTTCTTATGAAACCCGTACATGTTCAACTGGCGGACAAAGGAAGCGTAGTTGTTATGCTTGAAAAGTTCAGGGATCAAGGTCTTTGCGAACTCGTCCTCGTCTAACACGATAAAGGAGTTTCCATCGTCGGACCACCGAATGAGGTCAGTGTTCTTAGACTCGTCCAGGAAACTGGAGGTATTCGTTAGCCATCAATCGTCAAATCAATTTCTACGTCGCTTAGGCCGTACCTGCTTAGCTTCTGAACGAATGGAGGGATCTGCTTCCTCTTGGCCTGCACCTCCCGCTTCGCAACCAACGCCCGCTGGTAGAGCTCATCTAAGCTTTCCCCCCAGCCCCCAGGCTCTCCAGTATTACTCCCATGATCAGACAAGGGGGTCGGTGTCTGTTCATACCCACGATTCCGGCTGACCAGTTGATTTGGTGTCTGCCTACGTGCGAGTTGTGTAGATGCAGTAGCTGTAGGTGCCGCCACATCTTGAGCCGCCGAATATGCCGTAGCGCCATAAGGATTCGCATCAGAAAAGGACGATGGGCTGACAACATTCGAGGAAGTACTTTGGCCCCATTGCAAGAACTGGTCGTTTGAGAGCTGAGTGTTGGAGTTTTGCGGATAGTTGGAGATCGGGCCAAGTTGTGGATGAGCGATAGGAGATGTGCCGGGAGCAGGTCTTTTGCGAGTCATGCCTTGAGGACTCATGGCAGACGATATGGCTATGTCTGGCCGGTCAAGAGTAGGTCTTTCCTTCAATATAGAATTCGTTATTGAGAATGCGTAGAAATGCGGCAAAATCCGATATCTAGTCAAGAGGATGTTCTTCAATGGGCTTTCCAGCCAAGGCTAGGCTATGGCGGGGAACTCGTATGGCGCGACGCGGGTCGAGACTGAATGTAACAATAACAGCGCAGAGAATCGTTTATAGGGCTTCCGTTTGAAGCGGTGTTATTCAGGCTGAACCGACAAACGCTTGGGAAGAGGGTCTACGGCAACGGGCCGATATATCGATATGGGACGCGACACGCGGGGCGATAAAATCTCACTATCAAGAGGGTCGAAGTCAATCGGATAGCAAGCTCGCGACAGGCCCAGCTAAGATGAGCGACGAGGAAGGAGCAAGCCAATTGCTTAACACTGTTGCGATGTATATGTGTGACGAGGACTTATAGGCGGCGTCTTCTCAGGAACGGGCGCTGCGGCGGGTGGAGGGCTGGCACCGGCGCAAGGTAAAGGGAATAAGCAAAAAAAAAAAAAAGCACAGATCCGCCCGTCCCGCAAAGTCGAGAAGACAAACAATATAGTGGAGTGCAGCAGGGACACAAGCAAGAGTTACCGAATCCAAGTGATTCAGAACAACTCGCGTTTGATGAATGGCGATGACTGAAGATGGCCTGCGTCTGGCAAATCTTCTCTCCGCTACCGTCCAGATGCTTGGCGGTGACGATGAGGTCAATGGTCCACAGCAGGCACTGATTGGCTAGGGGGGCTGAGTCAGCCAGAAGTGCTGACCAAATGTGTGCTGACTAGGGCTGACGGGCGAAAACGATTGCTATACAGTGTGTCTACTCCAGATATATCACTGCCTTTCTACCTGAGCTATGGGATGTGGAAAAGCTCACTTGTTCTGATGCTGATCGTTTCGGATTGCCTTGTTTCCTTAACGCCTACTACTTTAGTTAACGCGGCATGCCCACCGATCCACTCATATGCAAATAGCCAATCATCTTGCATGCCCATACCGTGGTATCGTCCTTATTTTTTTTGCAAATACTTCATGTGCTACCATTTTTGTCCGCTCTAGATGCTTCATTGATCTTCCACTAGATTCCATTAATTGTCGCCGGAGCCTGGATGCGCTTTGACCACTGATAACGGGATCAACCCTAATGTAAGGCACGCGAAGGGAACACTGCTCCATTAGAGCGCGACCCGATCCCCAGTCAGTTGCTGGAAGTTCTCAAGCACCCTCTGCCATATACCCGGGTGTTCTTGGGAGAACCTCTCTACCCTCGTGGGGGCAGTTAAATCATCTTTCATGCGGCCCCGATTACTCGTTCCGTTCAATAAAGTGGTGTTCCCCAGGGCTAACACAAGGCAATACAGAGCGGCGGCGGGGCTGATTTCTGTGCGACTTGCTAACAATTGGATTGCATCCGATTGAACTAACTCTGGATTCGCTGTCAGTGTCCAGAAACTCTGGTAAATGATGTCGTTATCCTGGCAATATGAGCGCAACGGGACATCGAATTGTGTGCCCCCATAGAAGCGATTCTGGACAACCGCTGGTTTCACTTTGACCAGTGCGGATAGTTCCCTAAGCTGCGGCAAGGTGCAATTTGATATGCCTAAGTTTCGAATTCTATGAGGGACGTAAGTCTCAAACGTGGACCAGGCCTCCAATGTCTGAGACATTGTCGGAAGTGGGGAGTGAAGGATGAGCATATCGATGTACGCTTCGTTGACGCTTTCTGGGGCATCAGATGCACGAAGATGCTCTAGGGACGATTTGATAGAAGCGTGGACTTGTTCCGTCACCGATGAATTGGGATCATAGGGCATATCGTCGGGGTTTTGCCCATGAATGGATGTGAATTTGGTTTGGATCTATCCATGGTCAGCCGGTTGAACAGCTAGGTTTACTATCGACATTACGTTTGACTTACATGGAGATCCTCTCGTCGAATCGCTCCGTCCCGGATAGCCCGGCGTATGCCCTCGCCTACCAAATCTTCCCGGTAATGCTTCGGCTGGGCCGCGGTGTCTATGGCACGGAAGCCAGCGCTAAGAGCCTGGTACACTAAATCTGCTGTTCGATCTTTCTTCCATGCAGTGCCGTAGATGAAGACTGGTAGAGTTGCAGGAGGTGCGTTCTGCACCGAACGTAGAAGATGTCTATCCCAAGACACCTTGGGCATGGCAGAGCGAGCCATTGTGATAACGAATCTCACCAGAGACGCGCAGAAGAGTTATACCTTGGAGTATTGCTAGATCAATCAGCATGAACGTAGTGATATACGCAATATGTCGAGGTGGAGAACTACTAGCCCACTCGGGTACATTGGCCAATGATACGCTTGCAAAAAGCCGGTGTTCTGACATCTCAGAAAGATTGTGAGGGAAGACGTCACCTACAGCTCAACCCCTCCTACAACCACGTACTGAACCTAGTACGTATCGCATTAGTAATGCAAGAAGTTATTTATGCTTTTGGTCTGGATCTATCCCCCATATACAGTTAAGGAATATGAAAGACCCGTTGAAATACTTGTCCCCAGCGATTAGTAGGACATAATGACGGCGCATATAGGGCGCTTCTATCACAAAACATGGCAACGACCCATAGTGTGCCACAGCTTCTTCCTGCCGCGAGTGGGATCAATCCCAACCTCTTCGGCCAAATAGATTTCAGATGACTCAAAGTCATGCATTTAACCGATAGAAATAAGGATCTTCCCTGCAGAGTGTAGACGTTTCCTGAAATAGATAACCATGCGGACACGCATCAAGGTCGTTGTCCAGTGCTCCAGTGTAACCCTACTTCCAGAGGACAGCAATCCACTAAGTACAGCACCTTCGGTTATTTGAGCTATGAATAGCATCCGACTTGTGGGTATAGTATATACCCGTACAGTTGCAGTATGCAGGATAGACACAGGCAGCATATTTATTTTGTCGTTAACTGGCCATGATACTGTGTTGTCAAAGTCATCGGTACCCTCCGATCAACTATATATAGCGGGGAGGCTGTGCAGGAATCCGGCAATTCCATACGTTGAAGAGCATGTTCAGTAATGCTATTGCCTGATCTTATCTGGACAGGATCAATTGAGTGCCAAGCGATGATCATCCGTCTTGTATTCTTTTGTCAGTCTGACCTTCCTCGTTCTCCTCGTTGTTGCATGTTCCTAGATCCCAGTGCGGATGACGAGGCAAGGCAAACTGCGAGTGACATCATCGACAAGAACATCCTCTGGTGGTAGTTAGTTAAACATCAAACCACTCCGGAAAGCATTCCACAACAGCTTCCTGAAGAAGTGCATCAACAATAATCGCCGAGTTAACAAATATTTGTCGTCCCTAGCATACAGAAGGATCCACTTATCCAAAGCCCAACCTAAAACCCAGGGTCCAGTGTGGCGGTGAAGGTGCAGAAGAATAGAATGACATTCCCCGCAGACAAGTCTGGTAGCGATGAACAAACCAATTCTTGGCAGCTCTTCGAACCCATAACCTTCTTTCCTCTTTGTTCCAGGCAGCTTCGTTCCCTGTCAATATATTGGTGATATTCATACGTTGATCAACGGGTTGCACCGGATTTCCACGCCAGCCGTGCTTGGCATATGTCGCCCGAAGGAGGCTTAGAGTTTTAACAGCTCTCATTGAAAGCAGATCGCTAGCATCCTGAGTGATGGAACTGCGATGTATGGTGCATGCGGAGAACTTCCCGTCTGGGCAAGCTCTAGTTTCGGGCAATGAGATCCTTAAATATAGAAACTTTGCGACGCGATTGAATGGGTTATAAATATGTGTCCTCGCCCACTTCGAATTGTTCACAGCATCATCAGCTTCGATTTCAATTGTATCGCGACCACGGAATCCATCTACATCCGGAACTCTTTACTTCCCTAAACATCTACTTCGTGTCATCGTTGAACGAATCCAATCATACACAATGCGCACCGTCCAATTGCTCGCTCTCTCCGGCCTCATGCTCATGAGCAACGTCGCCATGGGCGCCGAGCTGGACCGCGACGACGTGCCCAATCGCTGCTGGGAAGTCTGCGGCCCGGTGGTAGGAATCGCGCACAAATGCGACAACATGCACGACAATGACCGCGCTGAAATGAAGTGTATCTGCGACTGGAATCAGGCACCATCCCTGATCCCTCTCTGCGAGGCCTGTATCGCGCAGTATCGCAGCGAACGCAACAACAGGGACGATGATGATGACGATGACGATGACGATGACCGCAACCCCCACCACAACGGTATGCAATCCTTCATGCTCTCGCAAGGTTCAAATAGCTAACATCCGACGCTGTCCAGATGCCTACGACATCCTCACTTCTTGCTCCCTGTCAACAACCAGCTACAACCCAACTGCCGCAGCTTCTGCTGCTAGCTCCGCAAGCACCAATGCCACCGATACAACCCCAACCGCAACCTCATCCGGCATCGCCAGCTCCACGAATAGTGGTTCCTCGGGTAATTCCAACAGCAACGCGGTGAGTAACACCAACTCTGCGACTAGCGCCCAGAACACCGATAATGCGGCGTCTGCATATTCAACCCCCAAGGCTGCTTCCTTGGCTGCTGTTGTCGGACTAGGCTTTCTTGCCTGGCTGTAAATATCTCATGACATGACGACATTACGAGGTTGAATACGGTCGAAAGGGAGAGAGTGGAGGGATAACATGGGATATGGATTCACTGAATCGAGTGGATCTATGGATATGGGAGATTGAGATATACATTTACGTTTCATGCCACTCCTTTATATACCCGGCTGGACTTGAGTTATGTTTGCTCTACTACATACCCTACATTTTCTGACTTATCGTGTGCTGTATTCTGAATCATTCCTTTGATATGCATGGACTGTGTTTCCTCAGCTTCCGTTATGTTTGGGCTGATATTCCCATGTTGCTCTACGGAGTACTTCTACGATAATAACACTTATGGGTAGTCGAATGAAAATTGCAGACATCCAACATATCATGATATCTAAACATAGAGACTGAAAAGTAGTTTGTTCTCCTTACGAACTACAACCGTCAGAAGTCCAATCCACGCACCAAGAACCAGAAATTATATATCATACGCCATCACGAACTCAACCTACCACCGAAACCCAAACCCAAACTCAAAAAGTCCAACGAGACAAGAAACTTGAAAAAGCAAAACCTAAGGCAGAAGCAGAGAAAAAGCAACAAAAGCCAACCCCAACCCCAAAACCACCCATCCCCAAGAGCACGCACGAGTCGCACGACGTGTTAACCCGTCCCTTACTTCCCACCAGCGAACAGGAGGGGAAGAAAAAAAAAAGCAAAAGCGACGACGCCGCCCCCCCCCGAAATCATCGCATTCGAATACGTGGCAAGCGATACCCTAGAGTGGAAATAAAATTTCCCAATCTCCATAGAGACGAGGGAAAGCACTACGTACTAAAACTAAGGTTGTGAACCTAACCTAGGGAACCTAACCTTACCTTACCTGCTTTGAGTTCGGTCCCAGAGGGATGGATGGATGGATGGATCTTCAGAGTTCAACCTTCACTTACGTGGTGACTAGCTACTAGCTACCTGCAAGCAAAAAGCAGAGATAGGAGACTTATTCAGTGTGCCTTGCTTCGACATGGAAATTTCTATTGTAGGTATTCCGGGTGTTTCTAATGTACTCCGTAACTCGGAGTTTGTAGATATGTACTCCGTACTTTGCTTTGCTTTTTGCTCCATTTGATCCTCACGGGCGATCTTGGGTCGGATTGGAAGGTGGATAACTTGGATAGAGAAGCTGATAATAAGCTAGATGACGATTGAGGGTGCGAGTGATAGGTCAAGTAGAGCAGAATAGAATTCTCACAGAGGGCAGGGAAGCAAAAACACAGAGGAATGGAATGTAGGGGACAAATGCCAACAAAACAGATAAGATGACAGCATGGTGATTATGGGTCGGTTGCTTCAACGACTGAAACATAATCAAGCCAATACTGCGTACATATATCATTATCTAGTCTAGGACAGTCAGCTGAGTGCAGTTGACTAGTACTCTACTCCGGTCTTAATCAGTAGTTCCAAGAGATGGTGAAACAGCCGTGTGTGGTACGACGTCCATTCCATTATTTCTGAAGCTCTCCCATATTGAACGAAATCAAAATTAGAGAGAGGGAAAAAAAATGCTGGATGACATACCCCTACGTGATCAAAACAAAGACCTGTAAAAATCAACCAACAAGAGCATTCAAAAACCCTGCAAAAGCCAAGGGCCAGAATCACCCTTACGTCCTACATAATCCCAGGTACTCCAACCAAAGACCGACCATCATGCATTGCAAATCTCCACAAAACCCTCCCCAACGGGCGAAGGAATCTGATATCCATGTATCCACGTAGACCCTTGCATCCGTGACCAGGGTGTGGGAGTCGCGGCGAATTTAGGCCCCACTAGTTGCTGACCGGACAGAAGTACGGTTCAAGTAATATATGTAATTGTAATGGCTGCGATTTGGATAAGGCTTCCTTTCTCCGAGTTGGGTATCCTCTGTTTTACCTTTTCTCTTTTTTATTTTATTTTTTGGGCCAGGTTCCCGAAAAGACGGAAAAGTGATACATAAGGCAGTGTGTTGATTGGCGGACGATGTGGCTTGCCGATTGCATACATATGTGTACCTTAGTAGTATGCACAAGCACGGACTACATATTGGAATCCGAGAGGAACAGAAGAATAGGAAATATAGAAAATAAACCAAGAAAAAAGACATAAGGAAAAACAGGAATTAAAAAAAAACATAGACTGCTTTGTCAAGTCCAACAAGGTCTGTCGAGAATTTCAAATCTCGAACCATCCTCTGTCTTTTTCCGTGGAGAGAGATAGTAGACGAAGCTAGACAGACAGCTCTCTGATGATATCGGCCCAAAACTGATAGTTGTTTCTACCAAGGGCATATGTCTTGGAATGCATGGCTTACAGGTTAATCATTGCCTGAATCGCATTGGGCGTATGTGTCCATGTCTGAGGGAATTAAATGATAAATCCGTTGCTTTTTCTAGCATCTTTTGCCACAGGTAAAATAATCCTGTTAGTGCTCGGCTATCAGTGGCCGCTTCGCGAGTGAGACTAAGGGGGGAGGAAAATAGAACTAAACCCCCCCCAAGAAAATAAGAAAAAGAAGGAAACAAGAGAAAGAAATGCAGAATGAAAACGAACCGAAGAGGCCAGACTAATACAAGATATGCTAGGCCCTAATGGTATAAAATGCACACACTGAAATGGGACAATTCGGCCTCTTGTCGCGGGCAACAGACAGAAGGGCTGAGTTTCCAATACAGTAGTGCTTCAGATTTGTCATATAGACCACACCAAAGTGGGTGCATGAGATACATGCAGGCCCATCCCACAGATTACTACTCATCTCCGTAGGTCCAAACTCGGACAATCATAAAATAAAATCGCTCCTCAAATCCATATGATCACGTAAATGTGACCGATACATCAGCCGCCTATAGGGAAGGCTTCCAATCAGCACCCGTAGGTGCGCCTTAGCAGGCTCCTAGTACTTTCTGAGGCCCCATAATGGTAGATACCCGCTACTATTCGCTGTGGGAACAGACTAAGAATATTCTATAGACGTCGCTTCGCTTTTAGTTCAGTACGGGATCACCCAAAGACCTCCCCGGGCCACACCATGGGACCAGCTGGGAGCTGCACCGCGGGTGCCCAAGCTTAAGGTGCAGGAATCGGTCAGCTACTACGTACCTACTATACCTTAAGCCAGTATATCCCGAGACCAAGCAAGGCTCATAGTCCCGGATAACTCCGCACGTTTTGACAGGTGCCGGACGACGCTGCTTGGAGTCTTGCTCGAAATCAGGGACACCAAAGTAGGATGGAGGACAAGGAACACACACGCATAAAAAAATGAAGAGGGAAGAAAAGGAAAAGACCACGAGAACAAGGAATACGATATCGGACCGGGACGCTCAGGAGAAAGGCGCGAAATCTGAGGTCTCCATCCGACTGGTTCTGGTGACACTCTAGTGGGTTCTAGCTTGGGTGTTAATCCCAAACCGCCGAATATTAGACTAGACCTTTCCCCATAGTTAGCTAGCAAGTGCGGATTTGCAGCGGATCCCAACTGACTTCACCGTTTTCGTCCTATCGGGTAGTGATAGTTCTTTCATTATTCGTCGGAAATGATGGATCATGCCTCGCAATTTCTCGTTGGAAAAGGGGCGACTTATCCTGCCATCGAACCTCACATGAGCTAAACGGTTAGGGAGCGGAAGCCAGAAACTTGCGTGTCAAGTAGATAACTTCATAATAATCGCATGTGATAATAATAGCCACGGGGAACGGTATCGAGCACATCCGCTACTAATAATAAAGAGATGGCAACTATGTCGTCTTGACGTGCAGTCCAGTCTCCCGGGGGTGAGGGAAAAGGTCACGGACAGATGGGGGAGTTGGGTGTTCATCAGGGGTTATCTCCAAATCCCCGACAGACGACGCACCGACTCCTGAAATATTTTACGGTCACGAATCATCAGGTACAGCAGGATCGATTTCGGCGACGTTACTACCCTCACCGCCCGCCATCGTGAAGATGAATGACCTGAGCCCAACCACGCCGCCAATAACAAGAAGAACAATCTTGACATCAAGACGGGCCAAGAGCCGGCGCGACAGCTCGTGTGGGCGGTGGACGACTGTACCGAAGCTCCCCTGTTCGGAGGTGGTGAATTGGTGTACTCCGTAATGGAATCATTACCCACCTCGAGCGGATCCCAATCCACCTTCTAACTAAGACTCGAAGGATGCATTGGAGCTCCCACGCCAGAACCGTCAAACAGGAACCTTTCGGACGAGTGGACATGGAAGACAGGGACTAGTTGGTCGTTAGGGACAGGCTAACTGAACACGATGGCATTTGGTGGCACGGAAACGTCCCGACAAAGAAGACAGAAAAAGGACTGGATCTTCAAGTTGGTTCGTGTGAGTAACTCCATACTGGAGAGTCAGAGACCCGTTTAAGGAGTTAAAGTAAGTTTCTCAATGTTAGTTCCCCGTGCCGCCCGAAGGAGAAAGTGGGAAACTGAAAAAGAAAACAAAAATACCAAAAAAAAGGAGGGGGAGGGGGAATTGTATAATTTGTTTTTCGTTTTCTTTGCCAGGAACCAGCAAAAAGAAAAGTTGAGAGACAATTCATCAGTCTATTGAAGGTTTGAAGCATGCAAATAAGGTCACCACTTGCGTGAGTTTGGTAAAGTTGCCGGATAGAAATCAATAACCCAAGGAACTTGGTGCAGTGGACGACATTGTGATTGGTGTAAGGACAATGAAAAAAAGAATCCTAATAATCTAAGGGATATTAACTCATATATGCCGAGCCAGAAATAATCAAGCTAGAAGGCCTATTAATAACGGGAAGGAATACGAAGAAGGGAGTAGACGTGTTCTAGAAAGAGATGTTGAAGGAAGTGGCCTTCTGGATTCCTCATTCCCCAGGCAGTAAGTATCCCTCTTCATTTAGGGGGGGGGGGTAAAGAGTACTCGAAGGGGAAGTTGAAGGAGGGGGAAAAGGAGCGCATGGACATGATACCTGACGCAGTTTAGTTTAGTACTGCAATTC